CTAGTGACTCTGGCCTCACTGTTCTTCCAGCAAGACACTCCAGTCTCCCCCAACTCTGAGCATTTTCACTCACTGTCCTCTATGTTTGGAATTCTTTCTCTCTCTCTGTCTTCACCGCCTGGCTTCCCTGGCTTCCTTCAAGTCACAGCTAAAATTCCACCTTTTAGAGGCAGTGTTTGCTGCTCCTCCCTCTTAATGCTAGAGGCTTTCTTCTGTTTATTATTTTCAGTTTATCTTGTATATATCTTATTTGTACACAATTGTTTGCATGTTGTTTCCTGTGTTAGACTGTAAACTCCTTGAGAGAGTCTTTTACCTTTATGTGTATTCCCAGTGCTTAGCATATTGTCTGTCACATAGTGGGCACTTAATGATTTTTGACTGAGTCTTTTGAAGTTATGATTTGGTCACTGTATTAATCAGAATTCTAAAGTCTTTCGAAGTTTCTTCTTTTACATTATTTTAGTCATCCTAAAAAAATTCTCCTCGTTCTGTTTATCGTATTCTGCATCAGTTCTTGTAAATCTTCCATGTTTTTTCTGATTTCTTCATAGTTGTCATTTCTTATAGCACAATAATCTTGTCATATTCATATGTCACAATTTGTTTAGCTGATCACTTTGTTTCCAGTTCTTTGCTACCACCAAAATGCTGCTATAAATTTATTTGTGTAATTGCATTGTTTCTCATAGTCCTTGACCTCTTTGGCATATATGCCTAGTATAGATGCTGCTAGGTGAAAGGGCATTTGCAGTTTGGTCACTTTTTAGGTATAGTTCCAGATTGTTTTCTAGAACCGTATCCTTTCCTGTAGATAATTTACCTTGTCAATTTGAAATGTCAAGGCTGTGGTTTCAGCTTCGGAAGTGACAAGTTTACTTGGTTATTTTAAGACAGACTTGTCATGATAAAGTCATTGTGAATGAGTGGTGGAAATTTTACATAGCAGAAAGAACACTGAGTCTGGAAAGGAACTAGATTTGATTTTTATTTCTGTTATTACTACCTATAAACCTGTAACGGATCTTTGGCAAATCACTTAAACTTTCTGGATCTTCGTTTCTTCATCAGCAGAGAGAAGAGTAAACTCTGGAACTGAGTAGGTGCTTAGTAAATACTTGTTGGTTGTTTGGTTGATTCAGTACTCCAGTCTTTCATGAGAACAAAAGACAAAAAACAATGATCTTGCTGTTCTTCTAACTTCAAGATTCCTATGTAGCACTGTTAAGGAATCAATAGCAACTCAATCAACAGCTAGCTGTCAATTCCCTTTGCTTGTTTTTTTCAGCATTTAGTTGGGCCGTTTTACAGCAGTAGTCAATCACTTCTTATATCTACATTACTGATTCTGTTTCACTGTGGGCTTGAGTAATCCTTGAAATTCTTGACTTCTCCACATCAACAGCTGCTGCAAGATCTCCAACCATTATTGAACTGTGCTCTTTAAGTTCTACAATCTTTGCACACTTTTTGGAGTGTTATTCATTCTCTAAAAACACAACAGAAGAGAACAATAACACTCCTATGTGTAGCACAAAATCACGTACTCATCTGGCCAGGAACTAGCAAAAGGTGGCTGGGCAAGGTCAGATACTCTGAGTCATTCTAGGGCTAGGAGAAGGGTACAAACACGACAGTTGTTGTCATAAAATAATACCATATCAAAATTATTGCTTGTCAGCAGTATTTTGTACAACATTGTTTTTAGGAGGAGGAATGAAACCATCTAGACTATGCCGTTTGCCTACTCTCAATATATCAACTTTAATCAGGAGTCTAAACACGTAGTTATTTCTTTTGACTTCCACAGGGGGTGATAAGTAGGCAAAAGTTGTGGGGGTTGTTATATATTCTGTCTTTATTGATTAGATTACAAATTTGGTATACTAATAGTATTTCAGAGTTAGAAGCAGCATTAGAGATTATCTACCCCAACCTGATTGTATCGATGGAAAAATTGAGGGTCAGAGAGTATGGAAGTAACTTACCCAAGGTCATATAGAAACAGCTAGCACTAGACTCCAGGGGTCCTGATTTTTGTGGTTATTTTTTCCACTATACTAACATTTACTGAGAATATCAACAACATGCCAGATGTTAGGTAATTTGGAATAAAGATCAGTTCTCAATGTGAGTTTCACATTAAACTTATAGGTTCTTGTAGACACAGAGGTGGACAAATCTAATGGAACAGTTTGTCAACTGCTCGTGTAATGATGTTCAGTGACATTGAAGGTTCTTTTCTGGAATGATCTTGTGATTTCATCTGTGTAGGTAACTTCTAGTTACTCAATCAACAGGCATTTATTAAGCATTTAATATGTTCCAGAATTGTTCTAAGTGCTAGGAATACAAAGGTAAAAATGTAGTTCCTCTATGCCCAAAGGGCTATAAAACTATGTATACCCTTTGACCCAGCAATACACTACTAGGTCTGTTTCCCAAAGAGATCATAAAAATGGGAAAAGGACCCACATGTACAAAAATATTTATAGCAGCTCTTTCTGTGGTGGCAAAGAATTGGAAATTGAGGAAATGCCCATCAATTGGGGAATGGCTGAACAAGTTGTGGTGTGTGAATGTAATAATGGAATACTATTGTGCTATAAGAAATGAAGAATAAGTGGATTTCTGAAAAAGCTGGAAAGACTTACATGAACTGATGCTGAGTGAGGCGAGCAAACCAGAACATTGTACACAGTAACGGCAACACTGTATGACGATCAGCTATGATGGACTGATTCAAGACAATTCCAAAAGACTTAGAATGGAAAATGCTATCCACATCTAGAGAAAGAACTGTGGAGTCTGACTGTAGATCAAAGCATACTATTTTCTCTCTCTCTCTCTCTCTTTTTTTTTTCTCGTGGTTTTTCGCTTTTGTTGTGATTCTTCTTTCACAACATGACTAATGTAGAAATATATTTAATATGATTGTACGTGTATAACCTATATCAGATTGCTTGCTGTCTTGGTGAGAGGGGAGGGGAGGAGGGAGAAAGGGAGAAAGATTTGGAACTCAAAATCCTGTAAAATTGAATGTTGAAAACTATCTTTACATGTAATTGAAAAAAATACTATTAAGTGGGGGGAAAAAACAAAAACATGATCCCTGTCCCCAAGGAGCTCACATTCTGTTAAGGGAGACACAATAATGTATATACAGGATATATGAAATGGTAATGGAAGGTGATCTCAGAGGAAAACCACTGGGTGGTGGTAGTTGAGGTAGGAGTGGAGAGAAGATACCAAGAAAGGCCTTCTACAGAAGATGGGATTTGAGCTGAGTCTTGAGGGGAGCTAGGGATGCTAGGAGGTGGCAGTGAGAGAACATTCCAGATGGGGGAGATAACCAGTGCAAACTCAAGTAGGGGTGTGTGTAAAGAACACATCATAGAGAGAGTACATGGAAGAGACTAAAGTGTGACAGGACTGGAAAGCTAGGAAGTAGCCAGATTGGGAAAGGCTTTCAATCCATCCTCTACTCAACTGCTGCTTTGGCAGTTGAGTTAAGGATAGATTGGAGTGTGAAGAAATGTGGTGCAAGGAAAATCAAGTTAAGACCTCCTGTCTTAGGCAACTGCCTGAAGTACTGAGAAGTTAAGTGATTTGGCAGGGTCCTACAGCCAATATATATGTCAGAGGCAGCACTTGAACCCAGATATTGCTGCTCTCTATCCAGTATGCTATCTTGCTGTCTGGTGGTTAATTAGTCATCCTAGCAGAGGAATTTTGATAACTTTGGTAACTAGAGGTACAAAGTATGCCATCTTAAACAATTTTATTAAGTTTTCATGCTTGGAATTTTTTTTTAAAGAAGGAATTGAGCAGATGGAGTGATAAGGTCACTAATAGATAATCTAGATTAAAGGCTGCCTGTCTTTAACTGAGACAACTTCTAGAAACTTTGTTGTTTTCCTTTCTCCCTCCAACTTCTTTTTTCTTTTCTTTTTCATCCTTCTCTAATTCTTTCTTCTCTGTACTCCCTCCTCTGCTTCCCTAATGTACTTATGACTGATACCTGGCTAATCTTTAAATCAAGAAACCAGAAAGTCACAAGTTTGCTATGTGCAAAGTTTAAAAATTGTCTCTCCTAAAGGGGTATCAACATTTGTCCTCCACATTTTATTCTTATGTAATATAGGTCAAATCCTAAAAATACAATTGTTGAAAAGAGAGAATTTTACATGATAAAAATTTCAAAATTTGATACTTTTTGAAGATGACTAGAGTTTGGTATTTTTACACAGAAACTGAAATTAAGCTCTTGCAAAAGTTGTATTTGCATCATTCTGTTAGCAAATCTGGTGTTAAGTGATATGTAGTCTGTAGGTTCTCTTGCTGTTGTGTCATTCTATTCATTCTAAGAAATTTGTACAAAGTGATAATTGAAGGAATAGGAACTATGTAACTGCATACCGCTTCTTTGGAGCTGTGAATTTGGGAAAACTGAGTTCCTGCAAATGTTATCCCTTCCTTTTCTTCTTTCCTAGAGTGTGTGAATAAGGAACTTAGAGGAACCTGATAGTGAAAAGAGTCTAGTGTCTAGTAGTTCAGACGGCCTGGGTACTAGTCTCAGCTAGTCAAAGTTACTCTTTGGCTTTGTGCATGCCACTCAGTCTCTCAGGACTCAGTTTCTCCTTTTGAGAGGCTTGTACTAGGGTCTTTTTCAACTCTAATGCTGTGTGATCTGAATCTAGTTTCAAGTGACCCTCTCCCTCTGTGTGTCTTTACCAGCTTGAGGTGTACTAGTTTATATAAGATGTATCAATGAAAAGATATTTATATGACTTAAAGCAAAATCTTATATTTAGGTTCTGTGTCTTGCTGATAATAGGTATATAACATGAACCATAAACACCTAGAAACTCAGGAATTGGAGATGGGTGCTTAGATTTTATTTGAAGTTTGACCGTAGGTAGTAGTAACAACAACAGTAGCATATTTTACTTAAAACTTTTTTGTTAAATATACCTTTTTTTCCCACTTTGTGTTAACAGCTACATCATGACAACAGAGAAGGGCTTAGTGGCCGAGGCCGAGAATCCACAACACCAACAGCAAAAAGAAGAAGGTGAAGGAGCCGCCAGAACAGGAACACAAGAGGCTCAGCTGGAGGAGTCATCGCAGAAGGCAGCTGAGGGGATTAATCATTCCGAACAGAAGCAGAAGGCTTCCAATGGTGACACCCCTCCACACGAGGACTTGAGTAAGAACAAAGAGCGGACATCAGAAAGCCGAGGCCTGTCCCGTCTGTTCTCCTCTTTTCTCAAGAGGCCTAAGTCTCAAGTCTCCGAAGATGAAGGCAAAGAAATAGAATTAGCTAAGGATAAAAGAGAGGGAGGTCAGAGGGAAACAGAGTTTGGAGCTGGTGTTGATGAAGAGATCCTTTTAAAGGCTCCCATAGCTGCCCCTGAACCTGAACTTAAAACAGACCCGTCTTTGGACCTTCATTCTTTAAGCAGCGCAGAAACACAGGTAAGAAATGGGGAAAGAGTTAGGGAGAATGAGGATAACTAATATGTTTGACTTTCATTGTCTGGAACCATCTTGCTTGGCTTACTTCTTAATTAACTTAATAATCATAGTTGATGTTTTTATAGTGCTTTAAATTTTCAAAGCCCTTTACCTTCATTAGCTCATTTGGATCCTCACAAGAAGTAGAATATGCCAAGGTGGAGGAGGTATTACCTTTTAGTAATAGCCTCAGCTTACAAATGAGGAAACTGAGGCACAGAGAAGTAGAGGGACTTACCCATGATCACTGAGATAGTCTGATTTAAATTCACTTTTTTCCTTATTCTGCGTCTAGCATTCTTTACTGGCTACTTTTTAGCCAAATAACCTCGACACTCTGAACTGAGTAATCAAGTATTTGAGGTTTTATTTTGTAGAAGTTAAGTATAACATAATTTGATGGAAACTCGATAATATCAGGAAATATTTTTTCTTACATTTTTATTAAGCATCTTTACCTATTGCTATAAAATGCTTCTTCAGAGATAATGAAGCCAAACCTAGGTCTTGAAGTGAGCGGAAAAAAGTGGAATGATCTGGACTTTGTATTATTTGAAGATTATGGAAATGGAATGGTTACCAGCAAACATAGTCCTTTTAGGAAAACCTACTTAAAGATATTAGAATAGTTTCATGCCTTCCTAAAAAGGGATGAAATGCCTTTATTTTTCATTCTTTCTCCCTATTTGGAATGTAAGCCAAAAATACATTATCATGGAGAATCCGTGTTTTCCTCCCCTGTGTAAATTGTTTCCTGCTCTCATTTTTATAACATAGTTAGGACCCTCATTGATATCCTAGCCTGAAGTTATCTGAGTGAGTATATTTTTGCTCATTTGCTCAATAAAATATGGACAGTCCAGGTTATATTCTGGAAATTGCACTTGAGTTTTTCAGTCTTGATTTCTTTGGTTCTAATTCTCCATCTCATAATTCTTTATATGTAAATTGGAAGTTACTTTCTGAAAAATTCCCTCTTCAGGATGTGCGAATGTTGTTTATGTCACCTTGAGAGCCTGCATATTTCTATTGTTGTGCTCACTAGGCCCTAATGGTACATTTTGTTTTTTAATCACTTTTATTTTAGACTTTTTCTATCTCCTTCATGCCTGTCCCCCAACCAATAGACAGTCCCTTCACCAGGCATTTATTAAGGACTTTCCATATGCCAGCATTATGCTATGGCTGTAGAGACCAAAGAAACAGACTCTTTCCTCAAGAAGCTTACATTCTTTTGAGGGGACACGACATGAACATTGATAAGTAATACAAATTACATATAAAGTATATTTAAAAATTTGAACCAATTAGGAGGAAGTTGTTATCAAGAAAATGTATCATAAGCTATAAAGCTATATAAAAGGGAGCTGTTACTAATGTAGGGCCAACCAAAATCCAGTTTTCCTCATTTTCAGTTTCTATTCTTTAATATGGTTTAGTGGAAAATTCTTCGTCATATGGTATGTTCAAATGCAGGGATCTTAAAATGTTATCCTGGCTGTATGTAGGTAAACTCATATAGAAAAACTTGGAAATGGCTTAATGCTTTTTCCAGGAGACCTGTATTTTAGTTGAAATCCTGTTCTTCTTTGACATTTGATTGTAGGTAGTACACTTGGTGGAAAGGAAAGAGCTATTTGATAGCTAACCCATAGATAAGTAGTTTTGACAACTCTATGGATATTGATTTATGCCATAAAACAGTTGTTGTCTATCTTTTATGAGGGTTAGTGACTTGGGAAATTTACAACATGCTAAATCACATAAAAATTCCTTAATTTCTAATGCTAAAATCAGTATAGCTGCTAAAATGGAAAGATATGGTTAGGCACTGGAAATGGAGCAAAGTGCTAGAGGATAGAGAAGAATTTGATAGCTTTGGTTAGGGGAATTCAATTAGATTTAGTCTGTGTCAAATGCCTCCTGTGTGTAAACACTGTATTAGGCATTTGGGGGATATAATTTGTTTAAGGATAAGTAAGTAGAAGGTAAAGAGAGACCAAAGTGCTCTAGGGAAATTTGAGGAGAGAGAACACATATCTGGGAGAATGAATGAATGAATGAATGAATGAATGAATGAATGAATGAAAAAGTGTTTATTAAACACTTAGTATATGCTACTGCTTAACTGTGTACTAGCTCTGTGCTAAAATAAACAGAGAAGTCAGATAGCCCATGCTGTCCAGGAACTCACATTCTGATGGGGGACACAACACATATAGAAGGTTTCACCTGCAAGTCAGATGGAGAAGTGATCCATAAGGTGCAGTGGCAAAGCCAATGATATGTGATACTGTAATTTACACTGATAATATCATATGTGGGGCGGGTAGATGGTGCAGTGGATATAGCACTGGACCTGGAGTCAGGAAGAGCTGAATTCAAATGCTGCCTCAGATACTTACTAGCTGTATGAGCCTAGGCACTTCACCTCTGTCTGCTTCAATTTCCTTAACTGTAAAATGGAAATATAATAGCACTTACCCCCCCCCCCCCCCCCCCCCCGCCCCCCAGCCAGGGTTGTGAGGATCAAATGAAATAATAATTATAAAGCATTTAGCACACTGCCTGGTACTTTGTAGGCACTTATTAAATGATTATTTCTTTGTTTCCGTCATTCCTTCATATCAGTTTCTGATATTGAAACATTTGATAGTACAAAGGACCTTACTTGCAAGAATTTTCTTTCCTGGGTCTTTTGTGGCTGTGCCAGCAGCACCTGCAGAGGCAGCTGCCAGGCTGCATCTCTTCCAAAATTGCTTCTCAGGATGATGGCTTCAAGGGCTGAGCTGGAATCAGGACCTGTGATTGTGAGGAGTGCTCTCCCTGCTGAGGTTCTTGTTCTTATCTGTGCCTTGGTGGCCTTTGGCCAATAATTGGTGTTGGTGAGGGTAAGGAAAGTGCCCCCCCCCCCCCGTGATTTCTCCTTTTGATGATGATTAGGGAGGGGGCACAGGCTGGAAACAAGAAGAGGTGATGGTACTTAGTGAGGTGCTATATCTTGTGAACCGTGGGTTCCATGGCATACTTTCGTGGGCTGCTTTAAAAGACAGGGCTGTCTGCCTGAGGCACTTGGAATACTAGTTTCTATAGGCTTTCACTGACTAGGACCTGATGTTCATTTTATGTACATTACATAGATCCTTATATAGGTTTGTGTTACTCTCTCTTCCCCATTAGAATGTGAGCCCCTCCAAGGGTAGGACCACTTCCCTCTTGTCATTGTCTTTGTCTCATAGTGCCAGGCACAGAGCCAGTGCTGGCTTCATAATCGCTGATGGGTGAATTGTTTCAGCCCAAACGTTGTAGTCTTGTATCTTGTTGCAATCGTCTCTCCTTCTTTCTTCATAGCATTGTTCTTATTAATAGTACAATGTATTTTATGAATGATCTTGATTTCTGACTTGGTTATGTTGTGGTTCTACAGCCTGCCCAGGAAGAACATGGAGAAGATCTAGAGTTTGAAACTAAGGAAGGAGAAGAACCTGAAGAAGGCTCCAATACAGATGTGAAAAAAGAAAGTGTGGAACCAAAAACTGAGAAAGAGCTCGGGTCTTCCCATAAAGCTGTCAGAAGACACAGAAACATGCAGTGCAAGGTGTCCTTGCTGGATGACACAGTTTATGAATGTGTTGTGGAGGTGGGTACATGTCTTTTCTTTTCCTAAATCCTGCAATGCTAAAGGGTTAAGTAGACAGCCTCCCCTCAAAGATAAGATCCTGTCTAATGAGTATTAGCAAAGCAGTTTTTCTTTCTAGATCACCTTCCTGGTACCTATACATTTGTGGTACATGTTCAGGTTTCTGATGTTTGTAGGGGCAGCTGAGTGACTTGTATAAAATTAGACTTTGAAATGAAGGGATTAGATGGCAAGGTGACTGGACTGTACAATCAAGAGGAAACATCTTTTCAAATTGGACCCAATTTTGTTTCAAAATGTCCCTTATTTGTACCCTTCGGTAATAGGTTGGTGCCCCTTGCTGTAAAACATCAAAGCCCATGTGCAAGGAAATAGGAATTCCACAATTCTCTTTTCAGAAAATCGTGTGTCACCAAATTGGGCACTTAAAACCAACTTGGAGAACATCTAGTCCACTCCTCTCATTTTATAGATAAGGTCATTCTATACTCAGAGGGAATGAAGTGAAGTCACCTCATTAGTAACAGACCAGGATTCCAATTCAGCTCCTTAGACTCCTGTGTTTCTCTGCTGCAGTGTGGCTGCTTACAATGTGTAATTGTGGTTGAATGAAAATCTTCCTTTATCTCCATTTTCCTTTTGCATAGTGTGCTTTTGGCTTCTATTCTTGTGTAATTTGCCATTCAATTGTTCCTATGAGTCTAAACTATTTTCCTGCTAACTTAAATGATATAGTAAACATTCCTAGATGAGTCTTTTCTGATAAAATAGCATGAAATCATCAAGGTCATAGAGGTTAGTCATGATGTCTAAACATTTTAAAGTATTTACTTCTCTTTTCTCATTGCATCCTGACATTTATTGATTCTGTTGTACTTTGCCTTCTCTTCACCCAGTGCCCAGACCCTCTTTAAGATTTTGTTTTGCTTCTGACTAATGCCTCCCTTAATTTACCCTACCTCTTATTTCCCTTTTTTTCCTTAACCCCTTTCTCTACTATTCCTGTTGAATAAGCTATATTTCTGCATCCAGTTGTGTGTATACGTGTATTCTTCCCTCCTATGACCAGTTCAGATAAGAGTGAGGTTCAAGGGGTAGCTAGGTGGTGCAGTGGATAGAGCACCGGCCCTGGATTCAGGAGGACTTGAGTTCAAATCTGACCTCAGACACATAATACTTACTAGCTGTGTGACCCTGGGCAAGTCACTTAACCCCATTGCCTAGCCAAAAAAAAAAAAAAAGAGTGAGGTTCCAGTGTCACCCATTCCCCTCCTTGTATAAAATTCTGCTTGTGAACCTTCTATTTAAGACATTTCCCCCCATTCTTCCTCTCTGTTTCCCGTTCTCCCAGTGTATTCCTCTTCCCTATCCTTTCCATTCTTCTTTTGAGTTCATCCAAACATAACAGAATCACTCCCAGACCTTCTATCTAATTAGGCTCTCTCTATGGCCCTTGATAATGATAGAGTTCTGAGGGCTTACATGTATTATCTCTCTATATAAAACATAAACACTTTAACTTTGTTTAGTCTATTCTGATTACTTGCTCACATTTACCTTTTTATGCTTCCCTTGACTCTTGTGTTTGTAATGTTAAAATTTCTGTTCAGCCCTGGGCTTTTCATCAGGAATGCTTGGGAGTTCTGTTTTGTTAAAAGTTTATTTTTTTCTTTTGTAGGATTATACTAAGTTTTTGGTCATTAGATTATTTTTGGTTGTGAGCCTAGATCTTTGCCTTCTGGAATATCATATTTGAAGCTCTCTGTTTCTTTTAGTGGTGGCTGCTAAATGATGTGTGATCCTAACTGTGTGATCCTGACTGTGGCTCCTTGGTACTTGAGTTATTTATTTCTGACTGCTTCCAGTATTTTTCCCCTTAATCTGAGTTCTCTAGATTTTGGTTATGCTAATCCTGAAAGTTTTTACTTTAGGATTTATTTCAGGAAATGATAGATTCTTTCAAATTCTAATTCTAAGATGGTTCTAAGATGACCAGACAGTTTTCTTTTTTGTTTTCTTGAAATATAATGTCTAGGTTCGTTTTTCTTTTTCTTTTTTCTTTTTTTTTTGGTGGAGGGATTTAGGTGGTCCAGTGATTCTTAAATTGTCTCCCCTTAAACTGTTTTCCTGGTCAATTATTTGTCTTGTGAAATATTTTCCATTTTCTTCTGGTTTTTTTTTTCAGTCTTTTGGCTTTGTTTTTATTATTTCTTGATGTCTCATGTAGTCATTAGCTTGCATTTGGCCAATTCCAATTTTTAAGGAATTATTTTATTTGGTGAGGTTTTGTATCTCTTTTTCCGAGATGTTAATTTGCTCTTCATTTCTTTCTTTGATCTCTTTGGGGTATAGACATTTCGTTGTACTTCCCTTTACTCATTTTCCAGACAAACTGGCCTACTAGCTATTTCTTGAATTTGATATTCCATTTCCTTTCTTACCTTTTAGACTCCTAAGCTTCCTTGGGTACTCAGTTCCAGTGCCAATCCTATATAAAAATAACAACAACAACAACAAAACTTTCCTGATCTCAGTTATTAGTACACTCCTCAAATTACCTTGTAATTATTTTATCTTTGTACATGTTGTATCCTTCTGGTCAACTGTAAGCTCCTGGAAAAGATACTATTTATTTGTTTCTGTTTTTATATTGGGTGCCTGCCCTTTTTGTAGTAGGGGCTTAATAAATATTAAATTGAGTTGACTGTAAGAAATGCATGCTTCTGTGGTTCCCTTCCTCCATGTGGTACTAACTCTCTTCTCCCTTCTCCTCTCCCCTTCCTCCCACCCTCCCATTCCCCGCCCACCTTACACACAGTGGCTCAGGGAGTGCTGGGAAGAACAGTAATAAAAACTAATATTATCTCATTCAAATCTCACAACAACACTGTGAAGTAGGTGCTATTAGTATCTCTGTTTTACAGGCCGAGAGACTTTTAAGTGACTTGTTTAGAGTCACACAGCCAGTAAATATCTGAGGCAAGATTTGGAATCAGGTCTTCCTGCTTCCAGGTCCAGCAATCTATCCATATTAACTAACTGCTTCAGCAGTGGTGTTGAATGTACATATTCATTCAAAAATGAAAATTCTTGGATTGGGAGACAGAGTGTCATGTATGAGGAACTACAAGTGGTTCAGTGTCACTGGACCAAAGAGTATGTGGAGGAGGTGAGGTGTAAGGAGACAGAAAATATAGGAAGGGACCAGGCTAGGAAGGGCTTATGTATTTCACGTTGGAGGTAATAGGGAGCTACTGGTATCGATTGAATGGGGAGGGGGCGAGGGAGTTGATATGGTCAGACATGCACTTTAGGAAGATCACTTTGACAACTTAATGGAGGATGGATTAGAGTGGGGAGAGACTTGAAGCAGAAAATCCAACCAGCAGGCTATTGTTATAGTCTAGGCATGAGGCTAATGAGGGCTTATACCAGGATTGCCAGCCTGGGTGACTAGAAGGATATTGGTGCCCTTGACAATAATCAAGAAGTTATAAAGAGGGGATGGTTTAGGGGAGAAGGATAATGAGTTCAGTTTTGGATATGTTGAGTTTAAGATGTCTATGGAACATCCATTTGGAGATATCTAATAGGGAGTTGGAGATGTGAGACTGGAAGTTCGGAGAGAGGTTAGGGCTGAACTGGTAGATCTGAGAGACATCTTCATAGAGATAGTAATTGAAGCCATGGAGCTGAAGAAATCACAAAGTAAATAATACAGAGGGCCCAAAACAGAGCTTTGGAGGACACTCATGGTTAGCATGTTTGATGTGGATGAAGATCTAGCAAAGGAGACAAAGAAGATATAACCAGAAAGGTAAGAGGAGAATCAGGAGAGAGCAGTGTCACAAAAACCTGGTAGTGTTACAGGCTGAAGAGAGGTCAAAGAGGATGAGCAAAAGCCATTAGATTTGGTAGTTAAAAGATCATTGGTAACTTTGGAGAGAGAAGTTTTCATTGAACACTGAGGTTGGAAGGCAAAAGAGTGAGTGGAAATGGCATGGAGAGATCGACTGTAGATGACCTTCCCAAGGTTGAAACTCTCAAGAATGAAATTATTTACTTTCATGGCCACTCTGTCTCTAGTGTAGATAACCTGGAGGTGGTACAGCATAGTGGAACATGTGGGGACCTGGGCTCCATAACTTTGGGGCAAGTCACTTCACCTCTGTGTGATCCTTAGTTTTCCTTTACTTATTTGTAAAAATGAGAGAGTTGGACTAGATGATCTGAGAAGGCACTTCCAGCTCTACATTTGTGGCCTTGTTATCCCTCCATGTCACCTGTGAATCCTTCCCCAACATCTTACTTTGATTCTTAATTATGGTATGGACATGACTCTGGGTTCTTACTAGCTCTTTCGGTGGGAGCACCCACTCTGACCAGTACTACCAAAATTGGAAAGACTAAGTTTGAGTTCAGTGAAAAACCATGAAAACCATGCTGACCAGTCTAGCTAATCTCATCACCAGAAAGTGGCTAACATTTTTGGTTATAGTAATCCTTGAAACAGAGTGAAAATATAGATAATGGGAGAAAATGATAAGACTAAATCTTCTAACTCTGTGAAGGCCAAAAATAAATTAGCATCCAAATGTATCACTTTATTTGTCTCAGTACTTCAAGGATCTATGATTTAATTGGTGTGGGTACTCCCACCCCACAGGGTAGACTGTAGCCTATCCTTGCCTTAGTAGAGCATATGATCGTAAGGTTATGCCTAGAAGGAACTTTAAAGATCATCTTGTCCAACCCTCTCATTTTACAGCTGAGGATTCAGAGGGTTGAAATAATTTGTTGGACTTGTACAACATGAGTTGTACCTGAAAAAAAAATTTGTTACCAGGCAACCAAGCAGGTCAGCAATAATCACTTATTAAGTGCCTTCTGTGTGCCAAGCACTGTCCTAAGTGATGGGGATACAAGTAGTAGCAAAAGGAGTTTCTGTTCTAGTGGGGAAAGATAGTACACCAAAGGAAACAGGAAAAGAATAGTGGTGGTGTTGATGGAGGAGGATACTCTTACAGGGGAGCATGGTGTTGAAGTCCATGATGTCAGGAAGCAGAGCCAGGAGAGGGAAATGAATGAAGGCCAGCCTGGGCCCCTTCTCTGAACGGAGGCCCTGGGAGGAATTCACTAAGGAGAAAAGGGACCCTCATGGTAGAGGAATATTCCAAGATAAGAAGATCCCAGGCACTGAAGGAAAGTCCAAGCCTACGCTTGCTGGTCCTCGGTAGGACCTGTGACTTGTATAGTCCTCTAGAGCCCAGGGTCTTCTCCACGCCAACAAGAACCGTCGGAGGATAAGGTTAATGGAGGTTTGAATTAATAGTCAGAAAGTGAACTGGACCATTGAAATAAGAACATACATATGTATGTTCAAAATTATTTCTCTTGGTAAAGAGTTCCTGTAGAAATCACCTCATCAGGATTGAAGGGAGAATTTTTTCAGCGAAGTTAATGGAGTTTGTAGATTGACTAAAGAAATCATCTAATCTAACCCCCTCATCTTACAGTTGCAGAGATCGAAGCTAAAAAGGTTATATGTTTTGTTCAGAATCAGAATTAATAGCAGAGCTAGGACCAAAACTCAGGTTATCTGACTCATTGGCCAATACAAAATCTCTTTGATTCTAACTGAGAATAATAACTTTGGTAATTTAATATTTACATTTAAAATGCATCTTTCTGAGATTATTGTTTTTAAAAAATTGACATTTTTTATTTTTATATCACCTGAATTTCCCCTGTATCCTTTCTTCTCCCACCTCCCAGAGAACCATTCCATGTAACAGAACACTTAAGGTGATTTATTGTTAACCATATTGTACTATTTTACAAGTGGGCTTCAAAAAGCAGGTGCTTAACCCAGTTTGAGTATTGCTTCTGATACTGCTGATTAGTCAGATGATCAGTTACAGTATAATAGCCTAGGTAAAGACCATTAAGACAGTACCTTGTAAAATCCCTGTGAAAAGCCATTCAGATAGGTCATATCTGCATGTCATGTTGAATTTGGCCTGTTGTTGAAGAAAATTGCTAAGAATCTGCCTCAGCACCGTGAGTCATTTTTTTCTGGGATAATGGATAATAGAGAGTCTGAATCTCAGCACCCACAATTAGCTGTCAATGTAGACAGCTGCTTCCAATTAATTCAGTGGCTGCACAGACAGTAGCCCATAGCTGGCTGAGGGAAATTATGCACTGAAGGGACAGTGGTAGGAGATAAAATCTCCTTTGCATTATAGACAGCCACACTCTCTAATTCTGGCACTACTCCTGAGTCACTCTGTGCCAGCTGTGCACAGTCATTTATAGTGACGTGACATGGAGCTTGGGTTTTCCATCTGTGTCCTGGGTTAGCTATGTTAATATTAAGAAGTAACAGATATTACCAAGTGAAAAAATTATTACTTGGTGCTAAATGTAGAGGCAGTGTGCCAGTTGTGCACCTTTTTCATTCTGCCTGGAATGTCCATCCCATGCCCTCTGCCTGTTATTTCCATCTATCCTATCCATCCTTCAACGTCAACCTCAAATTTCATGAAGCCTTTTCTGACCCTGGTTTCCCTGGCCCCCTTCTCCGCTAAAGTTCCACCTCCTGCAAGAAGCCTTTCTCAGCCCACCTTAATCTTAGTACCTTCCCTCTTTGATTGTCTCCAATTTATCCTGTATATATCTTGTTTGTACATAGTTGTTTGCTTGTGAAACAAGCAGATTGTGAGCTCTTTGAGAGCAGGGACTGGTTTGTTTGTTTGTTTTTCCACTTTGTTTTAGGCCTTTGTATCTCCAGCAGTTTGCACAGTGTCTGCCACTTAGTGGGTGCTTAATAAATAATTTTTGACTTAATTAATCTCTTTCTCTCCACATCTGAATATGATTCTCCCATCCTGTGACTCTATATATCACTTTGTTCTGTTCTCTTTTAAGGCATCTGTGTTCTGCCTTGTAGCGTACTGATTTGTGTGCTTTTTATTTTCTCTATTAGGTTATAAGCTTTATCCCATAATGATATAATTTTAGTTGGAAGGAACTTTAGTGGCCATTTATTTCAACCTGTATCTGAATGAGAATTCTGTAGCATGCCTGACAAGTGGTCATCTGACCTTTGCTTAAAAAACTTCAATGTGTGGGAAACCACTACCTCTTCAGGCAGTCAATTCTACTTTTTCGTGCTTCTGTTAAGTTTTTCCTTAGGCCTAGGTTGGTTTCTTTGCAATTTCTACCTTAGTTCTGCCCTCTGGGTCTGAACAGAGGAAAACAAATCCTTTTTCCATATAACAGCTCTTCAGATTTTTGATGTTAGTCATCATACCCCTCCACAACCCCCCCCCCCCAAGTCTTCTCTTTTCAGATAAAACATCCCTGGTACCTGCAGCTCATACTCTGGTGGCCTGGTCTTTCATTCCTTCCCCATTCTGGATGCCCTCCGCTAGATGCTTTCAAGCTTTAAAATTAGTCACTAGTATTTCTTAAGCACCCACCATATAACAGGAATTATGAAAGGTGCTGGAGATACAAAGACAAAAGCAAATCAGGCCCTACCTTCAAGAAGCTTATATTCTACCAAGGAAGATGAAACACACCTGTGTAGAAACATATAAAACAGACACAAGGTAATCTTGGGTTGGAAGACACTAGGCTTGAGCTGAGTCTTGAATAAAACCAAAGATTCCAAGACAAAACATTCGGAGGCTATTGTAATACTTCAGGCAAGAGGTATTGAGGGCCTGATCTACATGCTGTGTGTGTTAGTGGAGTTAAGGGAGGAAAGTTGTAGAGATAGAAACAACAAGCTCTAACAGCTAATAGGATATTTAGGTTGAGTGAGAGTGCAGAATTGATATTGCCACCAATGATGCAAACCTGGGTGACTGGAAAGAAAGATGGTGGGCTAACAACAAAATGTTCCAGTGTTTGTCTGACTAGGGCAGAGCCTGGTTGGACTGTTCCTTAGTCCTAGAGGAGCTAGCTCCTAGTCTTTCAGAACAAGGACAATGTCACTGTCATCAACAACAGGCATTTATTAAATACTTTCTATGTGCTAGGCACTGTGCTAAGGTGATACAGAAAAGAGCAAAAAATATTGTCCCTGACTTCAGGAAGCTTACATTTTAATGAGGGACACAACTTGCAAAGGGCTATATACATTAAGATACATAGAGGGTCAGTGGGAGGTATTCTTAGAGGGAAGGCACTGGCAATGGGTTGGGGGAGGGAAACTTGGAAAGGCTTCTTGCCAAAAATAGAATTTGACCAGAGTCTTGAAGGAATCGAGGGAAGCCAGGAGGAAGAGTTGAGGAGGCAGAGCATTCTAGGCCTGGAGGATAGCCAGTGAAAAGGCCAGGAGCTGAGAGATGGAGTGTCGTGTTGAATGAACAGCAAGAAGACCAGGAAGGGGGGCAATAAAGAGGAAGACGATTGGAAAGATGGGAAGGGGCCAGGTGTCAAAGGGCTTTAAAAACCAGCAAAGGATTTTATATTGATTATGAAGGTAATAGGGAGCCACCAGCGTTTCTTCTAGGTGACATGGTCAGATCTGCACTGTCGAAAAATCATTTTGGCAGATGAATGAAGGATGGATTGGAATGGGGAGAAAATTGAGGCAGGGAGACCACTTAGAAGGCTGTTGTAGTAGTCTGAGTGAGAGATGATGAAGGTCTGAAGCACCACCCTAGGTGGGTATCTGAGTGGAGAGAAGGGAACATAATGATGATGATGATGATAGCAGTTATATGGCACTTTATGATTTGCAAAGCACTTTACAAATATTACCTCCTTTTATCCTCACAGCAACCCTGGCAGGTAGGTGCTATTATACTATTATCTCCATTTTACTAAGAGAGACAGAGGTTAAGTAACTTGTCTAGGATTACATAGCTAGTAAGTATCTAAAGTAAAACTTGTGTTTTCCTGACTCCAGGTCTAGAACTCTCTCTGCTGTGCCTGCCTCATAACTGAGAGATATTATGAGGGTAGAAACAAATAAGACTTAGCAACAGATTGAATATGGCAAGTGAGAGAGAATAATGAATTGAAGATAACAACTGTGTTGTGGGCTTGTGTGATTGGGAAGTGATGGTAATAAGGAAGTTTGGTTGAGAAGGGAGGAAAAATAATGAGTTATGTTGTAGAAGTGTGGAGTTTGAAATGTCTATGGAACTTACAATTTGAGATGTTCAGTAGGCATTTGAGGACACAAGATAGGAGGTGGAGAGAGGTTAGGGCTGTATAAATAGATCTGCATAGAGATGATTCTTGAATGCATGGGACAATGAGATCACTAAGTGAAATATGGTAGAGGGAGAAGAGAATAGGGCCAGGACAGGGCAGGGGGGACAGTCTTGGTTAGTGGGCATGTTCTAGATGGAGATGGCAGGCAAATGAGACTTAGAAGAAGAGATTAGAAAAGACTCAGGAGAAAGCAGTGTCATGAAAACCTAGAAAGGTAGCCTTCCTGTCTTCCCAAGGCACCTAACACAATGTCTTGAAAATGATGAGAGTTCAGTAAATATTAGTTGAATTAAATGAATTTTACATCATCTTAAATGTTATATGTTTGTAGAAACACGCTAAAGGACAAGATCTGATAAAAAAAGTATGTGAACATCTCAATCTGTTGGAAGAGGACTACTTTGGTCTAGCCATATGGGATAATGCAACTTCCAAGGTAAGCAGATGACTACAGTATATGAAAATATCTAGAAGTTGTCTTTTTCATTTATTGTTTAGTATAAATATATGTATGCTTGATTCCCAAAAGTCAAATAAGGCATGATATTCTTAGAAATTATTTCTTATTTCTTTAATATCCCAGCCATTTTCTGTTCTCAAGATCACTATTCATTGCTATTATGAAAATACTGGTATGTGCATCATAATTTAAAAGGGAAATGTCTGCATAATATTTTCAAACATAATTTTTTTTCATGAAATCTTCCCTGATTTTCTTAATTGGAAGTGACTTCTTTCTTCTCTGATCTCATAGCACTTTAGACTTCTCTTAAACACTTATAATTCAAAATTAGTGTGAGATATTTATTTGGGTGTGTCTTGTATCTGCCTCTTCTCCACTGTGTAAGTACCTTCAGACTGAGGATCATGTCTTCATTTGCCTTTATATAACTGTCTAACGAATCACAGTGTGATGTTTCTTGTACGTGCTTAATAAATAAATGTTTGTGGAATGAATGAATTAAAAGGGCAGGTCCTGAATCAATATCTCTGTTAAACACATGCACACCATTTCCTGTCACATGACCAACAAGATAGAGGACTAGACATTTTTATGAATCTTCATGGCCTTACAAACCTCTTCAAAATATGCAAGCGATAAGGCAATTTCAGTGTTCCTGCATGTAGGATCCTAGTAAGGAGTTGCAGTTATGCTATCAGACAAAGCAAACATTCACAACATACATTATGCTGGAAGGAACTATAGACAACAAACAAATATCATTATTAAATTTATGTGTTCCAAATGTCTATATGTCTAAAGAAAGGAAGGAAATAAGCATTTATTAAGCACCTACTATGTGCCAGGCACTGTACTAAGGGTTTTACAAATGTTATCTTATTTGTTTCCCACAATAACTCTAGCAGGTAGGTGCTATTATGAGCTCTGTTTTATAGTTGAAAGAACTGAGAAAGAAATTAAGTGACTTGCCCAAGGTAGCATAGCTAGTAAATGTTGAAAGACATCTGTGCATTTAGGTCATCCTGACTCCAGGCCAAAAACTATCTACTGCACCAGATAACTGCCTCCAGGCAGACGTATACAATACAATAGTGGTGGGATATTTCTGTGTCCCTCTCAGTTTTAGATAAGAATAACAGAAAGAAAACAATAACAGAAAGAATAACAAATAGATAATCAAAAGGGAAGATATCTAAAAGATTTATCATGTTATTTGAACCATAGTTTTAATGGTTATAGAAGTTTCTTGGAGCAGCTAGGTGGCACAGTGGATAGAACCCTGGCCCTGGAGTCAGAAGGACCTGAGTTCAAATCCAGCCTCAGACACTTGACACTTACTGGCTGTGTGACCTTGAGCAAGTCACTTAACCTCATTACCTAGCCCCCTCCAAAAATTATTAATAACTATATGAAAGACATGGTAATGACAAGACAGTGGTACCAGAATTTCCAGGGTACAGCAAAAATAGTCATCAGAGGACAAATAATATCCCCAAATACAATAACAGAGTAGAAAAAGAAAGTATAATAAAGTGAATATCTCATTTTGAAAATTAAAAAATAAGATAGTAAGTCTAATAAGCACAAAAGATGAAATTTATAAAATGAGAGCAGAAAAGGGCAGATCCTCAGTGTTCAGGTAAGCAAGTGTTAGTGGACTAAAAGAATAGAACCTTCAAGTAGTATGCATTCAATATAAGTTTACATTATTAGGATCTTCCTTCTTTACCTCTTGGGAAGCCCTTCCCAAGAGCGGCATGCTATCTTTGAAAATTCAAATATACTGTCCAAGCAAATTGGACAAATATTTCCCCTCTAGAAATATATGTACATATGTAAGGTAATATATAAAAATTGCAAAACATCTCGCTTCTTGTGAGATACCTCTTTGGCAAGTCATGGTTGTTTTGATAGGATCTCAATTCTGATAACAACAAAAAGGAAAACCCTAACTTCTTTTTAGAAACAAAGTCACCCATTCTTTCTTTTCCCATTTTTTGGATTGGTCCATTACCAAAGCTGCCTCTTTCCCATTTTATAGCTATGACTTAATTACTTACTTCTGATCACTAAGATGAAAACTTCAGAGGTTTATTTGACTCTTCTCTCTTTCTCTCCCTGCCCTTCATTTCCAATCTGTTGCCAAGTCCTTTTGATTTTATCTATGAACTATCTCTCATATCTGTCCTTTTGTATTTTTTTCACCCATATTAATGCCACTAGGTCAGGTCCTCTGGTTTTGTATTATTAAAATAGCCTATGACTACTTTCCTGTGTCCAGTCTTTTGATTCTTCAGTCCATCATCCTTCACACTACTGCCAAAGTAACCTTCATAAGGCACAGGTCTGATCATATCACCCCATTTCTCAATAGCCATCAGTGGCTCCTCTGTGCCTCTTGTATGAAAAATAAAATATGGTATTTAAGGCCCTTTATCATCTGGCTCCAACCAAATGTTTATCCTGATTTTGCATTACTTCCTTCAAGCTTTCTGTTTCAGCCAAGCTGGATTAGTAACTGTGCCTGAACTCCATATACCATTTTCTACCACTGTTCATTCACCTGGAATCCCCTTTGTCTACATGGTACTTACTCTTCATCTCTACTTTTCAGTATCCTTTTGTACCTTTGAGGCATAGCTTGGTTGTTATCTCCTCTGTGAAGTTGTTGGGGTTTTTTTTATTCCTTGTAGATGAAAGTATTATTATTCTGTCCCTATTCAGATTTTCCCAGAGTACTTTGGATTTCTCCTTTGTGCCCATCATACCTCATGTTAGGTTTCCTTGTGAACATGTTGTCACGTGTCCCCTAGCAGACCATCAGCTTCTTAGGGGCAAGCAGGTTGCTATTTTTAATGTCTAATACCTAACTAGACATTATTGCTCTGAATCTAGCAGGTGCTTGATAAATGTTGAATTGAATGTTTCCTTATTCTAAAGTACCCAACCTTTGGGCCTTACTTAGGTCAGATCCTAAGCTGGTGGTGACTTGTAAATAGAACGGTTAAAACTTGAGACATCACTGCATCTTGCACTTGATGACTTCATTTAGCATGTATTTATTAGGTACCAGCTGTGTGCCAGGCACTGTATGAGGCACTGAGGATAGAAATGCAAAAATAAAACATTCTATCAGCAAGAGAACATGTATACATATCAGTATAGAAGGATAAAATAGAGGAGACATGACCGCCCACTTTTTAAGTTTTGTGATATTTTCCTTTCTCAAGTCTTGTAGCAGCTCCCATTTTCTCATTGTTTTTTGTTGTTGTTTTCCAAAAAAATCTGGAGAGTAGTCCAGCAATCCTGTCTAGCAGCTCTTTTAGTACCCTGGGGCCTGGTTCATCTGGGTCTGGTGACTTTTAGTCATTAAAGTACTCTCAAAACCACACCTCACTTGGATTTAAATTCCCTGGTGGCCTTTTTGATTCTGTTCTTCTGTTGTCAAAATAGACTGTTTTCCCTTTATTCACATGCTTTCTTTGCCTTAGCCTTGTCTCCTTCTGTGCACAGTACTTTCTATCTTCCACCTGCCTGTTTTCTGGAACTCCTTATATAATGGAATATACTATGCCAAGAATCTTCCCTATATAGAAGTTTCCAGATTTCTAGCTAATTACTGTCTTTTTGTTATCAATGGTAAGAAAACCAATCAGCTTGCCTAAGCAGGACCCTGCCCCTCCGTATAATTCACTTTGGCTTCTTTGAAGTGTTTTGAAGTTTGGAGCAAAAATGAATCCAGGAGTACTATGCAACAAAGTGGCCAAAGCCTGGTGCAGTGATGTTCCAAGTTCTAGGAGCAACCTTTCATAAAATAATGGGTGACTCACTTCTGTCATTATGTCCTGCCTGAGATTTCCTTCCCTGTCCTTTCCCATCCCACTATGAAAGTATTGGTTGTAGACACCCTGGATAACAGGCTACCTTAGTTTGGTTTTGCCAGAGGTGAAAGGATTAAGCCCTCCTGGTCATGGTGTCTGTTCCAGGAGCAAGATGGCTGGACAGGAGATGGCCCTCGTCTTTGGTATATGAAAGACTGTACTGGTGTTTGTAATTTACTCCCTGCCTAAAAGTTGCATGTGTGTTCTATTTGTAACATTCGTTGGAGACAGTTCTTTACTGGGTGAAAAGTTAATTGCATTGTATTTTCCTCAAATTATAATTGGCACACTTACTTTCTTTTTCCTCTTTTTGCATAATAATAGAGCAGAAGCCTTTATCACTCTGGCTAGATGAGAGGGAAAGAAATCAGTAGCTGACTTCTATAGTCCCCATGAAAGATTTATTGCAACTTTGAACCAAAATTATTGGAGTTAAACAGCTGCTTGCTTAGCTTTTATTCCTACTTGGAATTACATCTGCTCATGAGTGAAGCAAGTATTTTCCTTGGTAGGGGGAAAGCCACTTTGTGGATTCTCCCTTCTATCCCTCCCCTTGAAAAAAAAATCCAAGCATAAATAGTATCAACAGCAAAAAATAAAAACAAAAACAAAATTCTGAAGTAGGCCTAAACTCCCCTTCTCCTTTACTAAATTAATAAGTATTTTATAGTTTACAAAGTGCTTCCGATGTATCTTATTTTATTTGTGTGGTAATAGGGTATAGTGAGAGAATAATCAGAGGAACAGAATTCCAGTCCTGTTTCTGCTACTTACTACTAGTTTTACCTTGAGCAAGTAATTTAATGTCTTTTGGCCACATTTTTCTCATCTGTAAAAGAAAGGTTTGGATTAGATTGTTGGATTCTAAGGTTCTTTCTAGCTCTAGGGCAAATATTATCATCTTAATTTCTCTGATCCTAATTTTCCTCTTTAGCGAGATGAAGATTCCTAGTCCTTGGATCCTAGGAGTAACCCTAAGGGTTCTTCACAAGCCTCCTGCCCCATTTGCTTCCTGTTAATAATCAGCCAGACTTGATTAGTTTTTAGCGAAAGTATTTATTAAGATAGTATATGTATAACAAAATAGTAGTTGCAAGAACGAGCATCTTGAAAGTCTAGGCCACATTCTCCCACAGATACACACAGTATCCATGGGGATGGTGAGCACAAACTTCAAGAACAAATGTAGTGAGGCGTGTGTGTGTTGAACACATGGGGCTAAGGGTAATTTATAGCCCCTGGTACTGGAAGTCAATCTCTCCCTTTGTGGAGTCCTCATGAAGTTCCCCTTTGGGGTGGCTTTCTGCCCTACTCAGAAGGTTGGTGGTTTTTGTTGAGTCCTTGGTTAGCACATCTCTCCACCATCATAGGTCACACTCCTTGAAGCTGCCTTTGTCCTAATGACTATTGATCTCACCCAAATTGATGTCTGTTACTGATGTAGTCTCTCACATGAGATGTCAGGGTGGCAAGGAAGGCAAGGGAGGTGGGTAGAGAAAGGAATTGCTGGCCCGCTTACTAGTTTTATGTATAGTCCCAGGAAGATGTTTGATTATTTAAACCATTCGTAAGATGTTGCCTATGTAGTGTCATTTGCCTTCATCCATTGCTTTAAGCATTATAATCCTCTCACATTAATTAAGGACTTATTCACACCTATTTCTCCTTTGATTCAATCAAGGTACCTGTGCCTTCTGTGATTACATTAATTGGGATGGGAGTGGAACCCCACTTTTATATTGACAGCTGCTTGCACTCTAAAGAAGTAGAAACAATTAACTGACCCCATTGTATTTATTCCTGAATTATAGAGGAAGCAATTATTTCAGATTGATCCTGGGTAAGGGTAATACTCTTATTTTCTCTAGGTTTGACATGGGAGCTCTGGTTGAAAGTGTTGAGTGTTTCCACATAACTGACTTTCTACTTTCTATTATTTGCTGTGATACATCTGTAGAATTCTGTATGAATTGTTTTTATTCTTTTCTTTTACAGACTTGGCTGGATCCTGCCAAAGAAATAAAAAAGCAGGTTCATGGTAAGTGGGAATCATTACCCATCTCAGTGGTGTTTCTTAAATCTTTTTGGTAGATCACATTTTCTCCAATCGTGAGTAACTTCATAATCCCTAATGTGACATTTTTAGAAGGAGGCAAAGCCATCAAAGTAGACAGTTCCGTAATAGTGGGTAAGATGAGTGGGAAGCTACGGCAAGGTAGAGATGGATCGATGTAAATATGGAGATAGGCGACTTTTGCCCAGACATGGGATTTTCACTAAAGATATTTCTAGGTCTGAAAAAGGAAATGAATAGCAGTATATTAGCCCATGTTCCTTGATGCAATGAAGAGTTGGGGGCCAACAGAAATATTTTCTAATGTATGAGTAATTCTGTCCAGTGTATTTTGGATGAGGTAATTTTAGATGAAGCTTTTGAGAAGTGCAAAGAATTGTTAATTGCATTATGAAAACAGTGATAGATTTGAAATTATAGGATCTGTATTTGAAGTCTGTGTTTATCACATGACATTAGGAAAATCACTTAACTATTCTGGGACTCCGCTTCCTTATCTGTAAGATGAGGGTGTTTTGGGAGTAGATAATTTATAAGGTTCCTTGCAGCTCTAAATCTAGTCTCACAAATAGTAAGATTTATCTCAATTTCCTGAGGTTAATTTACCTTTTTTTAAAAAAAAACCCTGCATGGTTAGGATAAAGTATTTTCCATTTTTGTGTGTTTTTCAGTTGCTTTTGTGATTTTAAGTAGGCAAAACACTCCTTTGGCCTGGCACCTCTCCATACCTGATCTTCGTTTAAAAGCTTATTTTTCAAGCCTGAATGAAAGTCATTCAGGGTCATTTTGACTTTCATTACATACAGTGAAAAACACTGCTCCAGCCCTTTTCAATTAAAGAATAAATTTATGTCAGTATTACTCAGCAGAGCTCATTAAGAAAGGAAAGTTGAAATATTTTGCAGTGATTAGGGGAATAACCAGCAAGAGTGTCTTCTTGGCTATTAAGAGTTCTCTTGCTAAGAAAATCATCTAAAGTATTTGTTTTTTCCTTTAAAAATGAAAACAAATCCCTGACTCTAGCACTTAAACTCATAAAAACTTCCTGAGGAAACAAATTGGAAATATATCATTAAACCAAAATAAAAGATGAGAATTGGTTGCTCCAAAGATGGGAATTTTAAAGTTATAATTTTTAGCATTTTTTAAAATGCCCATTTGTTCCTTTAAAAAAATTATTTTTTTTTCCAGTTCCCAACTCTCTCCCTCCTATCCCTTTCACCCTTATCCAGAAGCCAAGAATACCCTTATTACACATATGAAGCCATGAAAAACATTTCTTCATTAGCAGTGTTCCCCCTAGAAAAGGCAAGAAAAATATGTCTTTCAATCTGCACTCTGAATTCATTAGTGCTCTATCTGAAGATAGTATTTTTCATCAAGAGTCTTTTGGAACTGTGATTGGTCATTGTGTTGATCAGAGTAGCTAAGCCTTTCACAGTTTATTGTGATATTGCAGTTACTGTATACATTGTTCTTCTGGTTCTGCTAATTTCACTTTGTATCAGTTCATATAAAGCTTCTCAGGTTTTTCTGAAACCATCCCCTTCATCTTTTTCTAATTAAATTTTATTTTTAATTTGTGGAAGGAAACAAGCATTTCCATAACATAGTACAATAAAAAGATGATTGAACATGAAACTACAAATCTACTATGCATAACTTGCTGTTCTTTCAAATATACAACAAAATTATTGTGTACATTTCTTTTTTTTTCCCTTCCCTCCCCCTACCATAGAGAAAGCTGCCGGTAGACACAAATAGGCATGTATATTTAAAATTATTCAATACATACTCATATTTATCATTTCTTTCTCTGGATATAGATAACGTCTTCATATGCCTTTTATAGTTAATTTAGATATTTATAATAATATTTATAATAAATAACTAATTCATTCAAAGTCATTCTTAAGATAGTGTTGCTGTTACTGTATACAGTGTTCTCTTGGTTCTGCTTATTTTGTTCTTCATTATTTCGTGCAACTCTTTCTATGTTTTTCTAAAATAATTGAGCTCATCATTTCTTATAGCACAGTAGTATTCCATCACAATCGTATACCACAGCTTGTTCAGCCATTCCCCCATTGATAGCATCCCTGCAATTTCCAGTTCTTTGCCATCACAAAGAGAGCTGCTGTAAACATTTTAGAACATATGGGTTCTTTTCCTTTTTCCGTCATTATCTTTGGAAATAGACCAAGTAGTGGTATGGCTGGGTCAAAGGGTATAAGTAGTTTAATAACTCTTTGGGCGTAATTCCAGATTGCTCTCCAAAATGGTTGGGTCAGTTCACAATTTCACCAACAATGAATTAGTGTCCCAATTTTTCCACATCCCCTCCAACATTTGTCACTTTCCCCTTCTATCGTTTTAGCCAGTCTGGTAGATGTAAAATGATATCTCAAGGTTGTTTTAATCATCATTTCTTACAGTGTAATACTATTCCATCACATTCATATTTTATAATTTGTTCAACCATTCCCCCAAAAGAGCTGCTATAAATTTTTTTTTGTACATGTAAGTCCTTTTTCACTTTCTTTGATCTCTTTGGAGGTAGAGATCTAGTAGTAGTATCAGTGGGTCAGGAAGTGTGCACAGTTTTGTAACTTTGGGGGTATGATTCCAAATTGTTTTTCAGAATGGCTATTTTTTAACTCTCCAAATTTCTGCCAGACTACGTTCCAGTTTTTCCAGCAGTTTTTATCAAATAGTAAGTTCTTACTCTAGTAGCTGGCTAGGGTCCTTAAGTTCTTTCCCCACTTCTTAGATATTTTCTATCCTATGCTGATGAAGTTGAGTGTTACACAACAATAACCCCAACTGGGAGACTTCCAAGGACTCAATACAATAATATTTGAAACTATAGAAAACTTGCCTTTAATGTTTCCTGACTTCTAAGAAAAATGGTTTCTCAGCCTCAGCATTTGATAGAGATGTTTTGCATAATGAAGATGACTTTTAACAATGTGTATTTTGCCACCCTGATATGGGAGAAAGAGTTGTAGCAATGTTGAATGAGCAGTGCTCTCCTCATGGTAGATGTATATTACATTATGTATTGGAGCTTTAGCTAATCTAAGCTAATTTTAAACTAATTGGACTAAGTGGAGAGAAAAACTAGTCTGAATTATACATTAGGAAATGAAATTTTGTTTGATCAGAGCCAGATTTATATAGATTTATATAACTGGTTCTTCTATGACACTTGAAAATAGTTTATTCTCAAGTGGCTTAAGAATTCCTTTTTGTACATTTGCTTTTACTATTTTTGTTTAGCCAGACTTTTATGGGTTAGTGGGGAGGAGGGGAGGTGAGAAAGGATATAGATATTCTAAATCTAAACTTCATTTCAGACCCAGTTAGAATGTATATAAGTTAGTGGTGCCTGGACCAAAGCACAGTAAAATAGGCTGTGTCTTCAACTTGTTAAAAATTATAACAATTAACCCATTAAAAGTTATGAATTGGCTTTGACAGTCAGGTTAAGAATTATTTTCCTAAGTGGAGTACTATTTTAAACTTTTCTATTATAAGGCAATAGAAATGGGTTATATTTACTGGGCTCTGGCTTTGATTTGTTTTCAGACATCTCTTTTACTGTGTTGTCTCATGTTAAGTTAAACATTGAAGGAGAACATAGATTTACAGTTTCTTGAGGACCTTACATTAATTATCCAGGGTGTTTAAATAGAATAATTGTTGGAGCATCTGAACTCCCTCAATATAATTTTTAAAAATTTCTACAATTAGCAAATGTCATTGTTAATTAAAATTAATCATTGTTAAAGGTGAAATAAAATGCTATGGAAGCATACCCACAGAACATTTAAAAACAAGCTATTAATGTCTGTATATCACTTTACCTCATACTTTACTGAGAAAATAGAGGCCATTCCCTTGCCCATGGGCTCTCTCTTCTCTCCTCAATTGGATATCAGAATCCCTTGACATCATCCCCTTCCTATCCTTTACTTCAGTCTTTTTTTTTTTTTTTGTGAGGCAATTTGGGGGTAAGTGACTTGTTCAGTCACAGCTAGTGTTATGTGTCTGAGGCCAGATTTGAACTCAGGTCCTCCTGACTCCAGGGCTGGTGCTCTATACACTGCACCACCTAGCTGCCCCCTACTTCAGTCTTTAAGAAGGAATTTCCATTATCCTCACCAAAGCCAAACAAACCCTTTATTTGTACCCCTGATTCCATTTCCTTCTTGCTTCCCTGGCAGTATGTTCCTATAATCATCCTCCCACCACTCCTACCAGTATTTAATTTCTCATGGGCATATTTTATATATATATATATATATATATACACACACATATATATGTATACACACAGACACAAAATGTATAATGTTATATAATATGTACATTTTACTTTCACACACACACACACACACACACACTCTCACACACTCACACACACTCAGTCCTTTCCTTTTGCCTACAAACATGCTCAGTTCTCCCCAGTTCTTAAAAACTCTCACTTAACCCTAGCATTTTTTCAGTCTATCTTATCCGTCTCCTCCCTCTCATAGCCAAAGTCCTAGAAAAAGTTGTCTATAATCATCGTCTCCAATTCTTCTTCTCTCATTTCTCAAACAAGAGATAGAGGCAATTACAAAAGATAAAATAGATAACTTTGATTACTTAAAGCTGCACAGCTGACAAAACAGGAAAATGATAAATGTTGGAGAGGATGTGGGAAAATTGGAATACTAATGCATTGTTGGTGGAGTTGTGAACTGATCCAATCATTTTGGAGAGCAATTTGGAACTATGCCCAAAGGGCTATAAAAAGGTGCATACCCTCAGACCCAGCAATAGCCCTTCTAGGGCTGTATCCCAAAGAGATCATAAAAATGGGAAAAGGGCCCACATGTACAAAAATATTGATAGCAGCTCTTTTTGTGGTGGCAAAGAATTGGAAATTGAGGGGATGCCCATCAATTGGGGAATGGCTGAACAAGTTGTGGTGTATGAATGTAATGGAATACTATTGTGCTATAAGAAATGATGGGCAAGCGGACTTCAGCAAATCCTGGAAAGACTTGTATGGACTGATGCTGAGTGAAGTGAGCAGAACCAGGAGAATGTTGTACACAGTAACAGTAACATTGTGCGATGACTAAATTTGATAAATTTATCTCTTCTCAGCAATGCAAGAATCTAAGACATCTCCAAAAGTCTCATGATGGAAAATGCTGTCCACATCCAGAGAAAGAACTTTTTTTTTCTTCCGTTTTCTTTCCTCTTCTCTTGTGGTTCCTCCCATTGGTTCTGATTTTTCCTTACAACATGACTAATGCAAAAATGTTTAATAGGAATGTCTATGCAGAGCCTATATCAGATTACATGATGTCTTGGGGAGGGAGGTGAGGAGGGAGGGAGAGAATATTTGGAACTAAGAAGCTTATGGAAGTGATTGTTGAAAACTAAAAATAAATTAATTTAAAAAAAAGAAGCTGCACAGCTTCAGACAATATCACTGCATCTAGGATGAGATAGTAAATAGTCAAATAGGGAAAAAAACTTTGTATCAAATTTCTTTGATAAGAGTATGTTATCAAAATATGGAAATGATTAATAAATTTAAGACTAATAGCTATTCCCCAATAGATAAATGGTCAATGGATATGAACAAACAGTTCTCAAAAAACTGCAAAGTATTCACAACCACATGAAAAAAATGTTCCAAATCATTAATAGTAAGAGAAATGCAAATCAAAACAATCCTGAAATTTTACCTTACACCCTGCAAATTGGCAAAAATGGCAAAACATGCAACAGTCAATGTTGGAGTAGCTATGGAAAGATAGTCACACTAATACATTGTTGGTGGAGCTGTAAAGTGTTACAGCTATTTTGGAAAGCAATTAGGAAGTATGCAAACAATAAAACATCCATACTCTTTGAACCTGAAACTCCATTACTAGATTTATACCCCAAGGAAGCCATCAGTAAGAAGAAACTCACCATATTCTTCCGACTATTTATAGCAGCACTTTTTTTCTTCTTCTGATAACTAAGAATGGAAACAAAGTAAATGCTCATCAGTTGGAGAATAATTAAACAAATTGTGGTACATCAACATAATGGATTATTACTGTGCTGTAAGAAATTATGTGAGTGATGAATATAGATAAGCATGAAAAGAGCTATATAAGCTAATGCAAAGTGAAGTAAGCAGAGCAAGAAAACAATATACACAGTAACTATCACATGTAAATGGAAAGAACAACCACACACAAAACAATCAAAAGTAAATATAATAAAATGATAAAGATCAAATGGGCCTCATATGAACAAATATGAGAAGACATGCTCAACCCACCCCTTTGTGGAGGTAGAAGGTCCACAGGTGTTACACATTGCAAGTTTCTGGACTTTTTCAATGAATTGATCAGTTTTGCTTACTTTTTTGGGGGTGGTGCACTACAAAATTACTATTTGTTAAATGGGATGGCTCTCAAGGTCAGGGAGGGGTAGGGATACATGGGGTACTACAGTAATGTCAGAAACAAAAAATCAATAAAAACATTTTAAAAAAATTATCTTTAAGACAAATTATAAATTATCGGGCTCTACTTTTGTGTTTGTGTATCAGGAAAGTGGTGCCATGACTTGCAAGTGAATTGAATTTAAGTGAGAGAGGGCTATGCAATGTCACCAGCCTCACTTTCTTCTCCAGAGCCATCTGGGCCCAGTGGTGAGATATAGATCAGGGTGACTGGAGATGGCCCCTAGCAATTAGAATAGTTTAAGGAGAAAAGCCTCAAGCAACAAGAAGGTGAGACAAGATGAATTCCAGAAGTTCCCAGAGAAATAGCAGAGAAGACTTTTATAAGCAGGAATGCAAATTTAGAGAGCTGAATAATTCCTTTTGTAGAAGAGTGACCATAATTCTCTGAAAATTGGTAATGTTATATATAGATATTCTCTTAAATAGTTTACTTAATTAAACACAACACCTCACCCCTCCCTCATTGAGTTAAGTCCCTAAGTAGTTGTTACAACGCGTCTGAAGTCAGGCCCTTAAGGACTTTATAGAATCTCTTATCAAACACATAATTCTCCATTGTGGCTAGTTTTTCTGACCATAACAGAATCAAAGTAGAAAAGTAAAATGGGTTTTGGAGACCTGTAGTCTCCATAGCTGCTCAAGCAGATGCTCGTGCTTTATTGCCTGTAATAGAAATTTTTAAGAAGGGAGGTGGGTGAGTAGCAATTCTATTGGGAGGCAAAGAAATAGTATACAAAGCGTAATTCTAGTAAAATATTATTATTCAGTGTACATTTTGAGCCCTTTTTGTTTTTCATTATATTGTAGTCATGTCTTAGCTCACAGAAAGTGGGCAATAGATTGCTTAGAGGATGTGGGAGTTCACCATTACATTAGACTAGGTAAGAAATGAAGTGGAGGGTCACAAGTGCTTTGATCCATGGGATTTTATGGCTTACAGTGCTAGTGTGTGTTTGTCTTTTCAGCATGGATTTTTTTTGGGGGGGTGTGGCTAAGGACAGGTGATGCTGCTTTTGTGAGTTTCAGGGGAACAAGATTATTTAAATCTGTGTGTTTGTATATGAATCCAGATGCGCTTATTTAACTGTTGCTGCCATTTCTATAAGGCTTTATGTATCTGGAGTCCTTGGGTAATGAATTTTCCAGGTGATTGAAGTTTAGTCTACGAAATACCAATCTCTTGTTTTAACCATTTCAGTGGTAGTATTTTATAACTATTTCATACTTTTTGCCTCTTTCATCAGTGTAATTGAACTTTTTCTTGATGACTCAGTGTCCCGGTGACGTTGGTTGTGCTCTGCTCTAGTCCATAAAACTTTTGATACAGAGAGAGATCTAATAGACATTTGGATAACTGAAGACTCCCAGTACTAATATATCTTTTTTCTGAGGAGGGTTTTGATTTCTTTCCTGAATTTCTCGGCCCTTTCATCTTTCTGTGCAGGGTTATTCATAGTATACTGTGATAACAATGCCACTTTTGTTTCTGCCTCCTCTGATGTTTGACCCAAATATTCAAAAGATCATAGATTTAGAGCTAGAAGAGATCTGAGAGTCTAACTCTCTCATTTTATACATGAGGAAACTGAGGCCCAGAGAGGTTAAGTTCTTCACCAGGCTTCTCCTGCCATCATCATTCTGGTTCCTGGATTTCTTCATGAGCATATATTTTCTTAATAAACAGTGCTAGCTCCCCCACCCCCTTTTACTTGTTTTTTTTTTTAACAAAATATACTCATCCAGAAGTATGGTAATGGATTTTATCTCACCAAGTCTCAGCAAAACTTAGGACATAAAATTCTCCTCCTTATATTAGGTGTTCTAGTTCAGTGCTTCTGAAACTCTGGGGGTCATGAAAAATTTGGCAACAGTAAATGGTTTCTGAATGCATAATGACCAAAAATTAATTGAAAATCAAACGTGTAATGAATCAGAGGTGTTTCTGTTCTGGGTCATTTCAGCCTTGGTTCTGAACACAAAGCATGTGCACTTTTACTGCCTATACTGTCATGCCACACAATGCCAGTGAATGATGCTGAAATGCAAAAAGGGGTTTCGAGTGGAAAAAGTTTAAGAAGCCCTGATTTAGTTTACCTTGCTTGTAACCCATATTTCTTACATTTGAGTAGATGCTGAGGCTATTAATTTCGTTACTGGCCTCTTTGATTTTTGTCTAATGTGAACTTATAGGTGTCTCTAGTACTATTTTTCCTATGATATAGCTTTCTCTCTTATGCAGATTTATGGGGACATACACTTTCCCAATACCTTTCTGCCTTCTCCCACATTTGTTCTAAACGACATGAGACCAAGGAACAGCCCTATGGATTACAAGCTTTGTATTTAGGTGGTTTTTTCCCCCAAATTTTTTCTGAGCCTAATAAACATCAATGAAAATGAGCACTTCTATATTGTGTACACACAATAGAAATGAAACTTCAAATCTTTATTATAGACAGCTTGCTTTTTTTTTAAGTATAAAATAAATTCAACTTGTTACTTTCAGAGCTATCCTGCTTGACTGTGATCCCTTCTGTCCTAGTCTGCTTATTTCAAAAGCCGTGTTTCAGTGGCTCTCTTGTCTTTCTTTTCTTTTATTTCTTTTTGGTTGACATCCCTCTCCCTAGCAAGTAGTGTACCTAGAACATTATTGATGTAGATCCTTTTGACCTATTGGTCAGTTTTCCTATGTTAGTTGGTATAAGTTATACAGTGCTTTTGTATATTTACAGGAGCCCCTTGGAATTTTACATTCAATGTGAAGTTTTATCCACCTGACCCAGCACAATTATCAGAAGATATAACAAGGTAATATTTGAATTATTAATTAAGTTAATTAAAAGTAATTTCCATTATCCTAAGTACTAGGACTTTTCATTTTCAGAGTGGGAAAGATGAAGAGCTGTTAAGCTAGAAACTCTGAGACAAAAGAGGGCTCAATATAACCTATGAGGTAGCTTTGGATATGCATAACTGCAGATTCCAAATGCCTGTATTTTTCCCTGATTGGTGTAAGGAGGATGATATAGATGCGGTCAATACATGAGTTGGCATATTTGTGCCACACAGCTCTGACTACTCTAAATGTTCTGTCCAAGTTGTGGAAAAGGTACCACTATGTTCTAGAAGACTTGGGTGGAAATGTTGTAGAGGGAAACTTTTCTTTCAGCCTCTTCTCTCATACTCTCTGATATTCTGAAGGCCCAGAGTTTTAGTTCTTAACTTCTGAATTTCTGCCCTCACTTAGGATTGTAGAATTGTGTCATTTTGGAATTGAAATTGACTCTAGATGCTATGCAGGCTACTCTTCATATTGATGAAGAAGCTGAACCTTACAAAAGTGGGATGTCCAAGGTGCCAGAGTCTTTGTCCTTAAGGTGCTCACGTTTCAAAGGAGAAACAGCATGCAGAAAATTGTACATCAAAGCTCTATACAGTGCAAATGGAAGATGACCTCCAAGGGAAAGCACTGCAGTGGGAGAGGGGGAGGGACACTGGGCCCAGGCTCCTCCAGAAGGTGGGATTCAGGCTGTCTTGAAAGAAGCCAAGTGTTGGAGTTGAGGAGAGAGAATAATCTAGGCATGGAAGAAGGATTGCACCTGTCACTGTGAAACGTCCTGTAATTACTTTTTAAAGCCTGATTAATTTCAAGAGATTTGTCTAATTTAAGAAGTGACTTTTATTGTATTTCTAAGATTTCACCAAGGTCTTTCCAGAGTATTAAAAAAAGTGATGGTGGTGAAGAGGTTGTTTAGATAGTATTGAGCAAGGATCACCAGGCTGAGAATTCAGAGACTTGAGATCAAATCCTGGCTTTGTCATGCTGCCATTCATGATGTGAGCTGGGATAAGTTTCTTTCTCTTTCTAGGCCTCAGTTTTCTCGTCTACAAAATGAAAGGTTTGGACTAGGCATTCTGAAAGCCTCCAGCACCAAAATTCCCCTGACTTTATATTCTGTGGAAATTCTGTAAAACTATGCAGTCATTATGTAACTTTTACTCTAACGCCTCGGCTAGTCATCTTCAGTGTGCACACCCATAGTGTACCATACCTCTGTTTGCAAAACTTATTTAGGGTATCTCTTTTTGGAGGGTAGTTGCCTCTCATAGTTGTGACAGTAGTGCATCTTTCTACTCCTTGTCTAAAAAAAAATTGATTCAAAGAGATTCCAATAATCTTTTTTTAGTCTTCATTTTGGAGAGCTTTGAGTTTCCAGGAGGCTGGTGGTATTTTTCTGAATCTTTGAGAACAGAGATGAAAATGGTTTTTTTAATGTTTTGTTTTGTTTTTTGGCAAGATAATCAGGGTTAAGTGACTTGCCCAGGGTCACACAGCTAGTAAGTGTCAAGTGTCTTGAGGCCAGATTTGAACTCAGGTTCTCCAGACTCCAAGGCTGGTGCTCTATCTACTGCTCCACCTACCTACTCCAAAGGAGATCCAGAATCTTTTTTTTTTCTTTTTTGGGAGAAAGACTTACATGAACTGATGCTGAGTAAAGTGAGCAGAACCAGGAGAACACTGTACACAGTAACAGCAACATTGTGCGATGACTAACTTTGATAAATTTAGCTCTTCTCAACAATGCAGGGATCTAAGACATCTCCAAAAGGAAAATGCTATCCACATCCAGAGAAATAGTTATGGAGTCTGAATGCAAATTTGAAACATGCTATTTGCTCTCTCTCTCTCTCTCTCTTTTTTTTTTTTTGTTTCTTCTTTCTCGTGGTTTCTAACATTGATTCTAATTCTCCTTTACATCATGATTAATGTGAAAATGTTTAATGTCAATGTATATGTATAGCCTATATAGGATTGCATGCCATCTTGGGAGGGGGGAGGGAACTAAGGGGGAGAAAATTTAGAACTCAAATTCTTACGGAAGTGAATGTTGAAAACTAAAAATAAATGAATTAATAAATTAAAAAAACAAAACAAAAAAGAGACTCTATCCATATTAGTATCAGTCACTCATTATCCTCTGGTTAGTTCAGATGCTTAGGACAGTATTGACGAAACCAATGCCCTAACAAACTGAACTAAGCCTGGGTTACAGAGAGACTTGATATGCAGTAGCACATAGTATGGGCTCTCCTCCTTGCCACTGGTCATCTCTCAGGAAGAGGAGTGTTGTTGAACACAAGAAACACCTGGCACTAGTGTGTCCACTAGAAGTCTCTACTCGTGGAAGAATCACCCCAAGGGCATGGCTTCCTGATGGGGACATGGTGGCATTTTTTATGTAAAAGATAGCATGGAGCTATTTGGTAAAACAATTTTTCTCAATTTCCCCTTAGAGTAGTCTAACGCGATGCTGTTTTTTCCCTTTTGACTGCAGGTATTACTTATGTCTTCAGCTTCGGCAGGACATTGTTACAGGACGACTGCCCTGCTCCTTTGCCACTTTAGCTCTGCTGAGTTCTTACACTGTCCAATCTGAATTGGGAGACTATGACCCAGAACTTCATGGTGCTGATTATGTTAGTGAGTTTAAACTGGCCCCAAATCAGACCAAAGAGCTTGAAGAAAAGGTCATGGAACTTCATAAATCGTATAGGTAAATATGGCCCCAGGGTCTTGTCTTTATTTCCTAGAATTTGAATTTTAGCTTGTGATTGACTCATATTTATTTGTTTGATCTCTTTTTATCTCTTTTTTAAATTGTGAAATTGTCTCATTTAATACATTGGTATTCATAGAAGAAAAACACTATTCAAATGTTAACATGATTTAATCTATTTCACAGAGAAAGATAGAAGATGTTTTCTATTCTATTGATTCCTGGCATCTCTACCCAACCTGCTGTCTTTTTTTTTTTTAACTTCTTCCTTCTCAGCCAGCAACTTTGTGACAGACCAAATTATTTTGGAAGAGGCTAGAAAAGGAGTCAAAGATTCAATAATCATTAACATACCCAAAATATTCAGTTTCAGTTCTGACTTAATTCATTGATGCCACTACTATTTCCTCCACCTCCCCACTAAATCTCAGGGAGGTGGGGAACATTCTTTGACTTTTTTCCTTTCACCAAATTGTCCACTGTGCTGTATGAGTGATTTGCTGTGGAGTGGATTGAGTTGAGTTATTGTTACTATCTTAGCCTGAGTTAACACCTGGACTTGTAACTACCAGATGTGGGTATGAGTTGAGTGGCTAAATTATGAGAGACCCTCACTATGACTGATCAAAAAGTGACCAGAGTAGGGTAATGCTCAGTTATAATTGCCCTGAGCACAATTCTAGTGTACTTATCTACTTCAGCTACCATATGGAGTAGTGTTTTCAGTGAAATATGTTTGAACACTCTATTTGTGTGGGCCTTATCTGGAATCCTCCCAATTAACAGTGTAGCCCAAATCTGGAGATCCAAATGGGATCATTTTTAGTGGTGGCCAGTGGGACTGATGTCTTGCAGGATCACTCAAATAGTGCCCTTGATGGGGTCACTTCAAGATCCTGTTTAGTAGCTGCTCCCAAAATGATTGATCAAAATTGCTGTCCAAAATGAGTTTGCTGAGGGGCAGCTAGGTGGCGCAGTGGATAGAGCACCTGCCCTGAAGTCAGGAGGACCTGAGTTCAGATCTGGCCTCAGACCAAACACTTGACACTTATTAGCTGTGTGACCCTGGGCAAGTCACTTAACCCCACTTGCCTCACCAAAAAGCAAAAAACAAAACAAAACCAAAATGAGTTTGCTGCATAGCATTTTTCAGCATATTCACTCACAGTGCTTTATATATAGTCTGTATCCTGGAAATGTGCCAATGAATGAATGATATCAGAGACCTCTAAAGTAGACCCACTGACTGCAGATTTTTTTCAGCATGCATATGGATACTTGAAAATACTTTTCTTTGATACCATTTAGAGATAGACCAAAGAACTGTTTTTATTTTTAAACCAAAACAATGGATTTAGTGACATAATGGAGACAATAGCTTTAGACCTAGGAAAGAATAAGTGTTTAGTGGATAAGGTTGTAAAACACCTGAATTACATCTTATTCCTTGGCAATTTTTAACCTGTTACTTTTCTTTTCTTTCTTTCTTTCTTAATATTACTTTCCCCTTGATCTCTTTGTACTAAAATTAACTGAGGGAAATCTACAGTCTGGAGCTGTTGGGTTCTACTAGAGGCTTGTCAGTGGTCTCATGTGAGTCATAAGATGATATTTCTATTGGTTGTGTCCAGGGCCATAGGTATCTTGACAGTAACATTCTTTACCTGTTGAGAGGTGGGGATCATTATGGGGAGAGTGAAAGAGCATCCTAAATATAGACAACGATGTAGCAAAGGCATTAGAAATCTGAAGGTATAGGATGGAGGAAGGGATTAGAGGACTGAGGAAGACAGCAAGTTGCCCAGTTTGGCTGGAGGATAAAAATGGTAAGGAGGGGGCAGCCAGCCTTCTGACTCTAACTTTTTCTGGACAGAAGGACCAACAGAAAATGTAAAAGAAAGCATTGGACCACGAAGGCAGAGACCCAGTTTCTGATCCCAGCTTCATTATTTACTCTGTGGCGTTGGACAAGTTACATTCCCTCTTTGGGCCACGGTTTTCTCAGATATAAAATGAGAAGGGAAGTGGACTAGATGATCTCTAAGATCCTTACCAGACCTAACCTCTAGGATTCTGTGAACTTTCAGTTATCTCACAGGACACAGCATTTTACCAGCCCATAGAAGTGTTTACCTGGGCAGAGACTCTACAAGATGCATTTTATTCCATAGTGAAAGATACAATCCTTCTCCAGGGAAAATAGATTGCAGCCTATGTAAGTGGAGCCTTTACTAGTGGCTCCATGCCCAGGGGGCACTTTGAAACTATAATTAACACTTCAAACTTACCCTAGCAAATCAGGATTTAAAATTAATTGCCTTCCATTTATGAAAACTAGGGAGGTATGTAAACTTGTCGGTTGCCTTTTCTTAATTATTTGAAGTAAAGTCCTTAATTAGGAATATCAACTAACCTTGCTAAAAGGCTGTCAGCAAACACTGGATACCTTGGAGTGACTTCATCCTAACCCCACTTGTCCTTAATAAATAAATACAGTGAAACATAATTTTAACTTCTACTTAATGGGTCATAGTCTGTGCCAAAGCTCCTTCCTTAGGTACTTTTGGAACTTTCAATCACTGTGTGCAGGGAATGAGGTATTAACTGTGTTAAGTGTGCTATCTTGGTGGTCTGCAATCTTCCAAAGGCATCTAACCTCTTCCCAGGCTCTGTTATTTTCCAGTCTTAGGAGTCACCTTGATCTTTTAAAAACTAATGCTATAACCAGGAAAGGAAATCTTTATTGTAATAGCTATAAATTATAGTCTCAAAGTAAATTAAGAGGGCATAGTATAGTAGAAGAAACTCTGGGGACTTGAAGTTAAGAAATCTATTCAGTGTTGTCTTTGCCAGTAAACTGTTAATGATACCCATGTGAAGCTGAGCAAGTCACTTCCTCTTGGGCATCAGTTTCCTCGTCTGTTAAATGATAGGTTCAGATTAAATGATCTCTATGGTTCTTTCCAGTTCTAAGATTGTTAGTAATAGATAAAATAATTTATAGTTTAGAATAAATAACAGTTTTAAAATCAAAGATCTCTACGTAATCTCCAATTCAATTCAACATTTATATAGTTGTTATGTGTAGAACGCTGTGGTAGGTGTTAGGGAAACTAGAAAGTTTAAATTGACTGTGGCCACCGTGGAACTAATAGTCTAGGACAGAGGTGGGGAACCTGTGACTTCGACACCACATGTGGCCTCAAGTTTTATGAAGTTTGGATTCAGTCAAAGGTCTACACTTGAGGACCTACAGGGCCACAATGTGGCCTCAAGGCCGCAGGTTCCCCGCCCCTGTTCTAGGACACTGGTATCAAACTCAAATAGAAAATGGAGAGGTACCATTAATCTATAGGTAAGGTTCCCTGTGGGAGGCTTATTGACTTAGAAAACCACATAGTAATGCTATCTATGTTTTATTGCATTTTTATTTATTTTGTTAAATATTCTCTTAATTACATTTTGATCTGCTTTGCCAGAATGTTATTGACTGTATAGGGTGGTATGTTTTGCACCTTTGGTCAAGGGTATGTAAGTGATGTATATACTCTTATACAAACACATAATAATATAAAATAACTTAGTCATTAAAAAGAAGCAAAATAAATGCTCTTTGAGATTTTGTACCTGAGGATGTAGTTCACCTGTACCAAATGGCTTAAATTGATCAAGGGCAGCTAGGTGCTCTCCTATTATTTCCTTACTTATTACCTTCGTCATCACCGCTCTACTGGTCTTTTTCCCCTGTCGTTTCTAGTGCAAAGGCTGTTTTCCTTGGCAGAGAAAACAGAAGTGAATTCAGAATTGAGCAGCTCTGTCTTTTCTTGGTTGTCAGTTATCATCATCCCATCTACCCAAGCAAATATGCGATGCTTCTTTGAGCTTCCTTTTTCTTTCAATATAGTTGGTAAAAACTCTATGTTCTTAGCTTCCCACACCAGCCTCAGCTCATGAGTTTTAGTGCTTCTGACACTATTTTTTACAGGGCCATGCCATGCTCTTGTATTCATCCTCAGTAACCTAGCTTTGCTTCCATTTTCCTTAGATTTCTTTTTTAAAATCTTTAAATTGATTGGTGAGTTCCATGTATAACCATATCAATTCCCTGAATGTTTTCCCAAAATCTAGTGTGCATATTGGACTATGCCTGGATTTCTTCTCCTCAGTCACATACTCTGGGAGGGAGTAGTCCCTTACCCCCATGATTCCCATCATTTCCACTCCAGCAGTTTCACTCTCTTAATGAAAATCAGATCCAGAATAGAGTTCACACTTATTGTTTCCTCCACCTTCTAAAAGAAGACATTATGACTAAGGAAAAGTCAAGAAGTTGTTAGCTTTTCTACTTTTGGCAGAAAGAAAATATCAGCAGATGACTGGACAAATCATGCATCTGTGCCAGGCTTGTGATCCGTTTCTCTTCCAGTACTGAGTTTATAGTATGCTTGTGACAAAGTCACTTCTGTTTCTCCCTCCATTAACCTCAATCCATATGTCTTGCTTCCTTTGCTGACTCTTGGATTTCCTCACATGAATATACCTTCTTGTATTCAGTGCTGCCTACCTTCCTTTTTACCTATCCTATTTCTATACCCATCCAGAGCCATGGACCAGTCATGGGTTTCAAAACACCAAGCCTCAGTGATATCTGTGACATCAAATTTCCCCCCTTACATTAAGATCTCTAGTTTCTTTTATTGCCTAAACTTTGGGCATTTATGAATAAGCATGTAGGATCATGGAGTTTTACTACTGGCTCTTTTCTTGGATTTTGTCTCTTGTGAACGCCTGTGTGTCTCAATGTAACTACCCTCGATGGTAACTAATGTGAGAGGATAAAGCACAGGCAATCTTCTTCCAGCATTGTTCATTTTTGTTTAAAGCCCTTTTGGTTACTTTTTCAAGACACTCAACAAATACATTATTAACAGCCTTTGTTAGGTAAGCTTCATCTCTGACCTGGAACTTGTCAACTTTGTATTTTAAGCCATGGTCCAGAAAGAAGTCCAAATCCCATTCTCAGGTACCACCTTAGTAGCCAGCGGTTCACTTCCCAAATTAACCTTTTTCTTCTGCATCGCATACTTTCACTCAGCAAGAGAGGACATCCTGCACCCCTCTGGTTTTTGCCCAAGACTTTTGCCCAAGTTTTTTGCCCAAGACTTCATAAATGGTGGTAATACTCTTTAGGTTCCTTCTGTCAGTATCTTTTGTGTGGACATGAATTAGCTAAAGTGAGTAGTTGTATGTTTTTATGTCTTGGAACCTTCTCTATTTGTCAGTTAACAAACATTCATTAAGCACTTAGTATGTGCCAGGCAATCTGCTAAGCACTGGGAATACCTTCAAGCAAAGAGACAGTTCTTGCCATCAAGGAGCTTACGTTGCAAATTCTGTATGTATCTCCTGTGTACGTATTTATTTACATGTTGTCTCACCCATGAGTATGGGGTATTATATGGGGTATTCAGGAGGACTAGCACCTCTGGTGTGAGGGCTGCTTATCCCCCTTTAGTGTCCACCTGGCACTAGACTCTCACTTGCGACTTCAAGAAGCTGTAGCCTGCACAGAGGTCACACCCGGGTACAACTGTCTCAGCAGACAGGCTAGAGCAGGTTGAAGGTAACTGACAGACCACAGACCTATCAGTGAGTTAGGGGAATGTCTCTCCCAAGCACATGAAGACTTCCCTCAGTAGAATGGGTGAATAAGAACAATTTGTTCCAATGGCCAGGAAGGCAGCTGAAGCAGATGCTGTGGAGCCCTTAGAGCTTGGTCAGATGTGGAGGACGTCAAGGTCATCCACTGCATCTTGGGCCATTGCCGATAATCTTAACTTTTGTCTTGTCACTGGACTTCAGTGACTCTGGAAGAGAGAGTGAGGCTGATGAGTTTATGCAATTCTGCCTCACTTAAATCCAATTCATGAATAAGTCAAGACTGGACCCTTGCTGGAAGAGCTTCTTACCTGATAGTTTCTATGTCTCAACTGTATCATTCTTTGAAGGTCAAGCAGCTTCTTCCTCCTTATTATATTATATATTATTATGTATAATATTCTTCCCTTTCTAGAATTCTGATCAAGGGTCATATCTCCCTTCCTACACCTTAGATCCTTTTTTTGTCCATCAAAACCTTGTTTCTTTTCCCTTTAGGACACTTATTCTTCCTAAGAACTTGAGAGTAGAGAGGTGTGTTTTGAGGCCCTTCTCTGAATCTAGGAAGGAGATTGCAATTGACAGTTACTCACTGGTTTTAGAAATATAAACATCACACACTCAGTGCAAGTCACTGCACAGTTTCTCCTTCTCCTCCTCTATCACAGCGGCACAATTTGCTTTAGCGTTTCTTCTGCATTTTCTGTTTGTTGTCAGGCATCACTGGCATCCCAGTTACCCCTTCAGCTAGAGAGGGCCCTAGTCCTGGGGACAAAGGTACTTACTAGTAGGTGTAAATCCTTAGGGCGCATCGAGCAAGAAGGACTTGGATATTAGTCTTCTGACTTCAAGGTACAGGGCCCTTTCCAGTACGCCATGCTGCTTTTCACAATTTGACTCTGGTCACCACAAATACACGTTTTTTCCCTTTTGGTTAGCTTCACAGCTTGTATTGGAATGGACAGGACACACAGCCCTAGGCTTCTTCTTACCTATATATATTATTTTCCCTTCTGCACCTTTTGTATATAGCCAATTAATAAATAAAATCCAGGTATAATTCCTTAGAATGTGGTGGAAGATCATTCAGGATGGACAAGTCATTAGTAAATTGATGCATCTCTCCTGAGGTATTTTCCTTTTCCTTCTCTGGGAACACTTTGTTCTTTTTAATGAGGGTTAAGACAGATGGGTTTGGTAGAGACTCTCTGGTTAAAGGAAGAGGCCACTACTGCTTTATGTCGCGTGGGGTGGTCCTGTGGGAAACAAACATTTACATAGCTTTTCCTTCGGGAAGTGGCTGCATTATTGTTATGAAGAAATTATATTTGATTGGTTTGAATTGCACTGCACTGGAGTGATGATTTTGTCATGGCACTGAAAAAACCTAGTTGGCTCCTGCGTACTTTGCAGCTGTGAGGAAACTGACAGGGGAAGCAAAGACTGTCAAAGTGGAGTGTTTATACAATAAGACTGATTGTTTTCAAACAAATCTAATTCAATATTTGCCTGCTAATGAGGACATCTTAATAGTAAGGAGAGAGGGCCCCATTATTTGGATGCTTCTATTAACCAGAGTTGTTTTGTTTAGATCAGTGGGCAGGATACCATCTGTTACCAGAAAATTTCCCTTTCATCCCGCCTTCCCCCATTAAGAGCCCTGTTAAGTAACTTCAGCTGCCCTCACATTTAATTCCCAGAATAACTCAATTCAGGAGTATTGAGATGAAAGGAAGCTAAGGGGATATTGGAAATTGCACAACGCCCTCGGTGGATTCAATTTGCTTGCCTTCTTTGCAAGAAGAAACACTGGAAGGTGGTGCAGTATAGTCTAAGCCAGAACTGATAGGGGTCAATAAGCTTTAAGGAAATCCTCTAGTAGGTATCATCTTAAAAAAAAAAAAAGAGTTCTTGCAGGATAGTTGCTTGTCATTATTCTTTTTTTAAAGATCTGTTTCTAATGAAAATTCCAGTTATTTAAATGTAGATTCCACTGCTAGGCATATACCTCCAGGAGGTCAATGACAAGAAAGACCCCATAGAACCAAAATATTTATAGCAGTACTCTTTTGTGATAGCAAAGAACTGGAAACAAAGTAGATGCCCGTCAGTTGGGGAATGACTAAGCTAGTTGTGCCATAAATGTGATGGAATATTATTGGGTTGTAAGAAATGATTGATGTGTTGAATAAAATGAAGCTTGGGGAAGACTTACATGAACTCATGCAAAGTGAAGTAAGCAGAGCTAGGAAAAGAACATATCTGTGAGGATTTGAGTAATGTAAATGGAAAGAACAAAAATAAAATAATGCTGAATGCTTTGAAATTATAATGACTGACTTTGGTCCCAAAGAAGAGATATGAGACAATATCTCCCCTCCACCTATTTTTTGAAGTGGGGAACTGTAGGAGTGGGGTAGGGAATATGTCAGACTTTTTTGGTGTATTGATTAGTTTTGTAGAACTTTTAAATTTTTTCTTTTACTATGAGAGAGGGAGGAGATGGGTGATGGTATACCATGAGAAATATAGGTGATGATAAAAACAAAAGATATCAGAAATTCATTTAAAAATTCCAGTCCTTTAGAACTCATTTAGAATTTAAATTTAGAATTCTTGTTAAACAAGAAGCCACCACTTCCTAGTATCATCCTATATGGATAGATTTTATTATCTGTTTCTCTAGTACTCCAAAAGATATGTGACCGCATCAACGTGGGAGCTCTTTCCATTGATGTAGATCCCTACACAGCCATGTCTTAGTGTTGCTGTGATTTGGAAATTCATCACCCAGTGTACTGCTTTTTCATATGGAAGCTCTGCACGCTTAGCTGGGCTGATCCTGGGACAGTGGCTCCTTTCTTGTCCTCTGTCAGCCTGGGTAGGAACTGCCAGCACTTCTGTCGTTTGGACATAGCTCTCGAGAATCCACACCACCTTGAGGCACTAGAGTAGTAATGATGATAATTCATATTCATATAGTGCCTTAAGATTTGCAGAATATTTTTATAGACTTCAATGGAGGGGGTATGTATGTATGTATGTGTGATATCTATGTCTCTGGGTATCTTTACCTGAAAAAGCGCTCATTTGTAGTCAGACTGCTATAGTGGATAGAATAATACTTAACTTGGAGTTAGGAAGATTTGAGTTCAAATGTAGACTCAGATAGTTGCTACCTATGTGGACAAGTCACCTAATCTCAGGGCCTCAGTTTCCTCATCTTTAACTTGTGACAGTAAACAGCTTTTACCTCACAGGGTTGTTGTGAGATTTGAATGAGACAATATTTGTGAAGTGCTTTGCGAACCTAAAAGCAGTATATAAATGCAAGCTATTATTATTCATTATATAAATGATAATATTTGGCCTTTTTTTCCTCTTTAAAGGTCTATGACTCCAGCCCAGGCTGACCTGGAATTTCTTGAAAATGCCAAAAAGCTGTCCATGTATGGAGTTGACTTTCATAAAGCAAAGGTAATGATAACCTTGGCTTAATAAGTGTCTAAAATGAACAAGCTATGAGAAAGAATAAGATATGATCCTTCAGGTAACTTAAAATGTAGCAAGGGTGGTCAGATATCTAAGTGGAGGGTGATTGCATACATAATATCTTCCTTACCTTTTACTGTGATACCTGAGGAGGAGTATTGAGCCTTTTAGGGTTTTAAGTTATACCTGAAAATACTGCCCTAATTAGTATGCATCTATAATGCATAGAATGTCAGACTTGTTTGAATCTTGGTTACTTTTGCTGAACTGGTTTTCTACCTCTTTTTTATTTGTTCTTATAAGGGGTGGCTCTCTATGGGTGGTAAGGAGAGATACGTAGGGAAATCAGGATAGGTGGTATAGAAAGATAAGATAGCAATAAAAATGTATTTTTAAAAAGTCATGCAAATAAGTATATTTATATACCATTTCACTGCTACAAAACCCTGTAGGTAAACATCCTGCAAAGTCTTCCTCCCAGCCCTTATTTTGTGTAGCAGCCCTAGGTACTTGAAGGCTCTGTTAACATTAGTAGAGTGCAAACTCTGTTAGTTCCTACTAAGCTTTGAAAATGATCACAGTTATAGACTATGTATCTGTCATCCTGAGAACAACTTTATTGAGTTCAAAGAAGCTTTTCATCCAAAGGTGATGAAAACTGCTAAGACATAGAGGACTTGTATTCAGTGTTGGTGGGGCAAGAACACATACCCATGAAAAACTGGAGTTGAGAATCCATTTGTTCCTCAGACCATCCCTGTGTAGTTGATAGTACAACAGGGATTATCTCCATCTTACAAGGATAAATGACTTGGTCAAAGTAACACAGCTAATCACTTGTGAAGCCCATATTCAAACTTTTCTACTGCCTCTAAATCCATTGTTTTCTCCATTATGTATGATTAAATCCCCACTGCCAAAGAGATTACAGGCTTAAGAGATACAATATATTGATTTATGTAGTCTTGATGATGTTTTGCTCTAATGATAGTCTTTATAGACAGTTGTATTTATATTTGAAAGTGATGACAAGCATCCATGCCACAAATTAGTGGTGTTACAGTATCTATAATGACCAGTAGCTCAGAGTAGATGACACTCAGGGTCTCTTCTGGCCCTAAGAATACTGAAACTAGGTTATTTTCCTAAAAGTTTTATTCCTGTGAGAGATCACTCAGGCAGTTAGGATAAATGTTACATGTTTTGTAAGTCAAAATAAAAAGGACCTTCTAGGTAGAGACCAGCACATTGGACAAAATCTGGCTAAGGTCTTATAGCTGTTAAATGTTGGGCCTAGGTCTGGCCTCAAGTCCTGAGTTCTTTCAGTTACATCACATCGCTTTTCTGAAATTGAATACTTTCTTCTTATCAGTGTTTTTCTTAATTTGTTGTAAAAATTATTTCTCAAGCCATTTAGTGGATCAGGTATGTGAATATTGGACAAGAGACCAAACAGAGTCTCTTTGAGTCCCATGGGGAAGGCACTTTGTAGTACCTGTCAAGTTCTGTTTTGTATTATTGCCATATCACATTGTGGAAGGAGCATTAATCTAGGATTGAGATGAACTGGATTTTAGTCCCAGCTCTGTGCTGACCAATTGTAACCTCAAGCATGTCACTTTTTTAGCCTTCTGCTTCTTCATCTGAAAATTGGGGATGGTCATACTTGTATGACATAAATTATTGCATTTGCTGTGAAATGAAAGTGCCTTGTAAACTTTAAAATTCTTTAGAAATTTGAGCCATGATTAATATTTGTGTATATTTTTTATCTTCTTCACCTCCTGAATATAAACTCCTTGAGTGCAGGAATTGCTTTATCTGTGTTTGTATCCAACACAATCTGTTGCACAGAACTTTGTATATGTTAGGCATTCATTATGTTTGCTGAATGAAGAAATGAAAAACTGAATCTGATAGCAAATGATTTAAGATGTGAACTTAGTGTTGTTACCAAAGCTGTGCAAGTATTTAAAAGGTAGAAATTAATGAAGTCTTGCTACTTGCTTAGAGTACACAGGGTGTATTGAATGATTATTAAATTTATTTAATAGCATAATATACTATTAAAGCTTAAAGCTGCACTAAGACATTTTGGGACACCATGTATAACAAAAGCTCTCACAGTCTTTGTGCTGTGAGCAGGCAGCAGGTGCCTGAGGACTGATGTGTGTACTCAGTTATTCTTTTGTAGACTACCTCTGTGAAATATAAATTTAAGTTTAATCTCTTCTTATTATTAGTAAAAGATTCTTTTGATAAGCTCCTGCTTTATTCAAAGTACTATGGTTGTGTATATCTCTACAAGTTGGTTTTGTCAAGTAAGTCTTTCCAGCTTTAATGGGAAGTATTATCAGAAGTGACAGGCAGTATGGTGTCACATATAAAAGAGGCCTGGCCTTGAAGTCAGCAAGAACTGTTTCAGGTCCTGCTTCTGACAACATATGAGCTGTGTGACCATGGGGGAGAACATGGGCTTTTGCCCCAGGTAGTTCTCTGAGGTGTTAAATTATGGGGGAGCTGCTGATCTGTATCAGTGGGGAGGGAGTTTAAACACTGGGAGTTCCTCACACTGATGAAATCACAGACCCTGACCCTTCACCACCATTTCATTGCAAATACTAAAGGTTTACCTATGGTTTTTGGAGGTCTAGAATTTAAGATAGCGTTCTTTTTTTTTTTTTTCCAATCAGTAGATCAGCTTGTATTTATTAAGCACTTGCCGAGTAGGTAGCTAGGTGGCTATCAGGAAGACCTATGGTCAAATCCCAGTTGTAGACACTAGCTGTGTGACATAGGGCAAGTCACTTAACATTTGTCTACCTCCGTTTCTTCATCTGTGAAATGGTGATGATAATAATAACACCTTCCTCCCAGGGTTGTTGTGAGGATCCTATGAGAAAATATTTGTAAAGTGCTTTGCAAACTTTAAAGCCCTCTAAAATGCTAGCTACTATTATTATTCTCTATGCCAGATACTTTACCAGGCACTGGGGGTATAAAGACAAAAAGGAAGCATTCCCTACCCCCAAGGAGCTCGTGTTCCATTGAGAAGTTAACATGTACACTTATAAACATATACAGAATAAATGCAGCTATACACAATCAGTCTACCAACAAACACTTAAAGATCTGCTATGTGCCAGGTGCTCATTAGAAACTGGGGTTTCAAAGAAAAAACAAAATGGTCCCTGCCCCCCCAAGAAGCTCACTTTCTATGAGGTGAGATAGCATACACATATGTAAGGATATTAAAAAATTTGCAAAGCAGATATAAGATAATGAGGTGAAGGGGGGAGGCACTAACAGTCAGGAGGTAACTAGGAAAGACCTAATGGAGAACCCAGCTCTTGAGCTTTGTTTTCACAGAAACCAGGTATTCTAAGAGGCAGTGCTGAAGAGGGAGTGTGTTCTAGGCAAGGAGTACAGCTAGGACAAAGGTACAGAGGTGGGACATGATGGTACGTGTGACAAGACAGCAGGAAGGGCAGTTTGGCTGGGTCTTAGAGTGTGTGGAGGGGAATAGTGCGTGGTAGAGCGGGAATAGTGGGATGGGGCCTGGTTGCGAATGGCTTTAAATGACAAAAGAGTTTATATGTGATCCTAAAGCTAATAGGGAACCATGGGGGGTAATTTAGAAGTGGGGTGACCTGGTCAAAATGGCATTTTAGGAAAATCATTTTTGTATAACATAGATAAATGTTTTTTCCTGCATATTTGAGATGTTGATATTTGCTACTCTTTCAGGACTTGGAGGGAGTGGACATCATATTGGGAGTGTGTTCCAGTGGCCTTCTTGTTTACAAAGACAAGCTGAGAATTAACCGCTTTCCTTGGCCCAAAGTGCTGAAGATTTCCTATAAGCGTAGCAGCTTTTTTATCAAGATTCGACCTGGAGAGGTATGGGGTCCTTGGTTTTTCCCTCAGACTACTCATAGGCTCAGCATAGATGATGCTTCTCCATTCCAGTTTCACCATGGCCTCCCCTTCCCCCCACCCCCATTAGTCATTCAGGATCTGATTGTTCATTGCATGCTTAGCCTCCTTGGTGCTTCTCTTCCTCGTCCTTCCTGCTGGCCTTTAGGCTATTACATTGGGAGATGGAAGGGACTTTAACGATCCTCTAGTCCAAACTACTTAAGAAGAAACTGAGGCCCAGAAAAGGGATGAAACAGACATAGTAAGTGGCTAGTAACTCTGAAAACACTACCCATTCTACTGCTTGTTGGAAAATTGTGTATTACCATATAGAGGAGCCCAGACAAGTCAAATCGACAAGCAGTTATTAAGGGCTCTTACTTTGAAGCCTAAAAAATACAGATTAGTCAGTTTTGTTTTCTGCTTATGCTAGTAAAAACATGGTGGCAAAGTAATTTGACACTGATGCTATGCTGAACTGTATTTGGATTATTTAAGAATTGCCATTATCTAATCATTCTGCTGTCCTCCATTTTCATGAGTATGTGAGTCTTCTCCTAGTGTCTCTAACTTAGTATTGTATCCCTGTTGAACTCTTAAGAAGAATCACTCAGTTTTGGAACCACATTGCTTCTGGCTTTGATATAACTGTGTATGAAGTCACATACCCCACGACCTAGTGTTGTTTTGTGGGCAATTTTCAGTTTAGTGTAAATGATTCATTCTTTTGTGTATACCACCACCTGCTGGTGAAAATTGATCTAACATGTAAGCATTTTTGTATTTGTTGCATGGTATTTTAAAAATTTCTACGGTTTAAAAAAAACCCACTTTTAGGCACTGAGAAAGATAAAGAGATGATGGGCAAAGCATAGATTCATAGGACTTTAAAAGCCTAAGGAGCCTTGGAGAATCTAGTTCAGCCCCTTTATATTGCAGTTGAGAAAAATGAGGTCCCAAAAGACCTTTACTTGTCCAGTGTGAGTGTCTAAGCCAGGGCTAAAACCTAGGATTCCCAACCCAGAGCCCATTGCTTTTTTCCATTCTAACATACCATGTTGTCATTGAAGCATTTGTTCATCACCTAATTGAACTTGCCTCTGTGTCTAAGTATTGTTAAATTGGTAAAAACAAATATGCAGACATTATGTAGATAGTTAAAACACTCAAAAACTTATGGTAGACATAATTAAACATTTAATTCAGTAAATCAGGCATTTGGAAGCCTTAGCTTTCTGAAAAGGTGAGTTCCATAATTAAAATGACAGATGATCATAAAATTCTCTTTATATAAGATAGATTAGAGAACGAAGAAGCCAGAGACAGGCTAGGCAGCTTTTTTCATTCATCTAGGCATAGTGTGGGTGCCTTCAGTGAAAGTGGAATGAAAAACACTAGTAGCCACCCCTTCAATACATAGGTTAATGGAAACAAGGGAAAACATACATATATATTATACATATAAATAAAAGAACCTGATTTAGATCATTAATCTGAATTTCCAAACCAGATACTATCACTGGAATTGCTAATGAGTAATTACAGTGACTGATCCTGAGAATCACCTAGTGATCATTAAGTGAAGTCAGGTGGCCTCAAAACAAACAAGGCTGAGAGAGAAAATGCAGGGGTGGGAAACCTTTGGCCTTGAGGCTGCCTGTGGCCTTCTAGGTCCTTGGGTGTGGCCTTTTGATTGAATCCAAGTTTTATAGAACAAATCCATTTATTAAGGGGATTTGTTCTGTGAAGTGTGAACTCAGTCAAAGGGCAGCACTTGAGGACCTAGAGGCCACAGGTTCCCTACCCTGGTATAATCCATATATTTGATAATAATAACTCCAATACCAATCAGGAATGAACTATAATTGATCCATTCAGCAGCCCATCTTCCTACCCACCTAGAAGAATGAACTGAAATAAAATGTATAATTGAGGCTTCCCCCTGCTCCTTGGACAAAAAAATAAAGTATGCTGTTTGACTTTGTAGTTGTGGAAGGAAGTATCCTATCTTATAGGAAAAAAGCTTTCCTTTCAATAAATTTCTTAACTTCTAGCAAGCTTAAAATTTTCGCTGATATCCTATGTCCCCAAACTGATAGCATGCTTTTTAATAGTGTCATGTTGGTCTGAATATAACCCACACTTTCCACCCAAAATCTGTCCTGAGTTTAAAACCTTAATATAACATCTAATAGCACATTTTTCACTCTATACCTGTACAGTTTTTCCTTCAAAGGGTTCTCATTTTAAGGAGACATAGGTAGAAATTGTAGAGAGGCAAATTTTGGGTAAGGTAAAGAAAAGCTTTTTAAAGAAAAGCTGTCCAAAAGTGAAATGTACTCTCTTAGGAGGCAGTGAGTTCTCTATCCCTGGGAGTTTTCAAGTGAAGGCTGGTGAGCTACTTGTTGGAGACATTGCAAAGGGAATGATTGTTTAGGTATGGGTTGGAGTAGATCCCTTCCAACTTAGTTGGTATGCCTAGTGGTGTCGTCCTGCATTCTGGGATGGTCTATATTTGGAGCAGTATAGGATTTCAGAAGCCTGTATTTCTGTGGATACAGAACTGTTCTTAGGAGGGTGTTCAATATTTGATTTTTTGTTTGTTTGTTTTTTAAATAGCATGAGCAATATGAAAGTACCATTGGATTCAAACTTCCCAGTTATCGAGCAGCTAAGAAATTGTGGAAAGTATGTGTAGAGCATCATACATTTTTCAGGTATATTTCTTACTTAAGTATTTCCCAAGGCTAAATGCTCTCCTTTTAAATTCTTTTATTGTAATTTAATTTGACAGTAATTAAATGTTGGCACAGTGCTTCTTTGTATGGTTGGGTGGTATTCTATGCAGCTTGGATAAGTTCATCTTCAGTAATCCAAAATAAGCCAAATTCTCTTCTTTGAGTAGTGAACAGACTCAAGCAGACATGCCTCAATATTTCCATAATCTGTGGGTGGGTGGAAGAAGAGAGTTCCCTTTCTTTCCTGGGAGCTCAGTAGCATTCTCTGTAGTTCTGAGGCAGGACCAGAAAACTATAGGAGGGAGGAACTAGTTAGTATACTTTAGCCATGTGGTTTTCTACTCACTAACCTCTCTCTCCCCTGCTGTGACTTTTGAAGTCCACGCTGTGTGAACCTAGTGGTTGCTGCATAGTGAGAGTGAAACTTCACACAGCACCTGGCCCTGAAGCCCAGCTGTTCTAGAGAGTCAGAAAAAGCCAGGAAAGCTTTTTTTTATTCCCCTTCAGTTTTTGTGATTCTAGCGCTTTTCTGGACACAGAGAGTCTGCCTCCTGTCATGGGGGTCGGCAGACAAGCCAGTGAGGAGACCTTTTCACTTGGCTCCTTATACATGAATAGTGTAAGTACTATTAATAGTGAGCATTTATATGGTGGTTTAAGGTTTGCAAAGCACTTTACAAATATGATCTCATTTGATTGTCACAGCAACCTTAGGAGGTAGGTGTTGTTATCATCCCATTTTATATTTTCATATCCTGTTTATCTCCATAGAAACAGTGGACAGGGATAAAATACAGGGGAAAATATGTTATTTTCAATTTCCATTACAGAATAAGTTGTGGAAGCAAATGTTGGACCCATTCTGGGACTAATATTAGCTATTGACATTATAGATTTCTTTCCTTTGTATTCCCATCTTTTTTTGCTTTAATCCAACCAAGAAAAATGTAGGGTTTCAGAAAAGAGAGGGAAGAATAGTAGAAAGGAATGCACTTGAATACTTTAATGTATTGTAATGTGAAATTTGGCTGTAGGTGATTGGTCATTTTGTAGAACGATATTTAAATAAGTCTGTTGTGTCAGTGGGAGTACATATGTAATAATTTAGTCATTCATTTCAGATTATGAAAAGGAGAGAAATATGTGCTGTATGAAATTATTTTTCCTCCCCACAGGAATTAGTTGATTTAAATCCTAGTTGCATTCAGTAGCCTAAATGGGAAGATTCCAAGAATAATATCAATTAAATTTCACATAGTGCTTTGCAGTTTTACAAAGTGCTTTCCCTAGTAGAGGTATTGTGGTCCCAACTTGTTAGAGGCTTAGAGAGGTCACACAGGTGGCAGATGATAGAACCAGGGCTCACTCCAGGGCTTAGATTCTAAGTCCAGTGTTCTTCCTCCTAGATCATGCCACCCTTTCAAATCTTATCTTTTTTTGGCTCATTAACACTTAAGAATCACACAGAAAAAAGTGTGTGTGTGGGTGTGTGTGTAGATGGTAGAAGATTTTATTAAATTTGAATTGATAGATTGAATAATATCTTGAATGTTACTTGAGCTTGGGGCATTTAACATGATTATTCTTGGTTCTCATATATTACAGACCCCTAATAAAGCATGTTTGAGAACTGACAGAATTAGTAATATAATTACTTTGATAACCTTTTTCTTAGTCTGCTTCAAGTTGTTATAAGAAATGTTGTGAACCATTTTTTTCTTTTGAAATATTCTGCTGTGTACGATAGTTGGGTCTTGAAATCAGGAAGCTAAGTACAGTATATGTATGTGTATATCTCTTCCAGACTAACATCCACCGAAACCATTCCCAAGAGCAGGTTCCTTGCCCTAGGATCCAAATTTCGTTACAGTGGCCGGACTCAGGCCCAGACCAGACAAGCCAGTGCTCTTATTGACAGGCCTGCACCACACTTTGAGCGTACAGCAAGCAAACGGGCCTCTCGGAGCCTTGATGGAGGTTTGTACTGAATGTGTACTGTCTCTTTATTTCTTCATTGTCCTTAATAAGTAAGGGGAAGGAGGAGGATTACAGCTGTCTACAAATCAACTGTTCATGACATCATAGATTTCTAGTGCTGGAAGAGACCTTAGAGGTTCAGATTTACAGAGATGGAAGAATGCTGGTAGATCACTTAGTGCAGCCCTCCCACTTTACAGATTGAGAACTGTGGCCCAGAAAGAAGGGGATTTATCTATGATAACATAGCCAGTTACTGAGTGGCAGAGCTGAGACTAGAATCCTGCTCTCCCACTTTCAAGTCCAGGGTTCTTTCTACTCCACCTCTGCTATCCTGTCTAATCTGCCCCCCTTGCCAATTCCTTTTTTGTATTCTGAAAGCAATAATGGGAGCAGGAGAGACTATTAGGGGACCTGTCCATATATTGTGCTGTGTTAAATAATCCTATGAAAAAGGGGTTCAGCAGATACCTGCTTTCTAGGTGTGGTGTATTTTAAAATACCATAGAATCTTGACACAACCCATTTGTGACAGACAGAGTAAGTGGTCATTGCACCTCTCTCTGAATACCTCCAGTGATTTCTTCAATGAGATCCTCTCAAAAAGGATCTAGGTAGTATTTGGAGGCAGAGCCTTAGAAATACTTTTTTGATTTGGTCAGCAAGTATTTATTAAGCACCTCTTGTATGCCAGGCACTGTGGACACAAATACAAAGAGTGAAGCAGTTCTTACTTATGATTAGAAGATCTTCAGCAGAACAAACAGCATTTGTAATCAGATAGCAGATGGAGAAGCTTCTCCTAGAGACTTGTCTGCCCCTTTTCTGGTTCTCCCACTTTTGATGAGTCATCCACAGGTGGAAGATAGGTTTACCCAAGGCAGAGAGGATTTTTGTCCCACCTCTTAGTGACATACCTCTTTCCCTTGGAGCTTCCCCACTGTTTTGAGTCTGAAGGGATTGCTGTCATTGACTGTTTTTTTTCTGATAGGCATTCTGAGCATAGGGGACAATCACTGCAAACATAGAGAGGCAGGAGAAAGGACAGTTCTGTGTGAAGAACAGTAAGCAGGCCAGAGCGAGACAGCAGGATGTATAAAGTTTTGATAAGGCAAGGATACAGAGGTAGCAGCCTGATAGTCTAACATAAATAATTGATATCAGCATTATAAAATTAGCTCATTAGAGCAGTGCAAGAGCACTGTTAGCTCCAAGTGAAGAAACGTCATTTGGTATAATTAGGCATGTATTCCCCAGTTTTCTAGGTGTTGGCAGATCCCCTTATTTGATGCCTAGTTTGTTTCTGTCGGTTATTAGGTGCACGTAGGCAATTTATGTTTCTCTGTCAGTGCATGGAATGAAGCATTATAGTGAACTGCCTAAAGACCACTCTTCTCACCTCCTCTTTCTTCTTCTGAACTTATACTACATGAGATTGTACTGTAAGCTGGATGTGACTTCTCTTTCTGCTTATGAAAATGGCTTAGGCTCAAGTTATCATCTGCATTGGTATCTTCAATAAGTTAGATGTCCATGAAGTGGCATTTTCAAATGTTCTCTCAATTCACAGTTTTTCAAGTAATTAGAAGTAAGGCATAGAATAGTTTAATATTTGGAAACTTGAAACCAGTCAAGTCTTCATAAGCCCTATGAGGAAATGCTGCTTGTCTAAAAATTATTGTTGTTGTTACAATAACATTTTGTTACAAATTTATTACTGGTAGCCCCTCACTTTTATACAGTGCCTTTCAAAGCACTTTGCTCACACTTCCCCTGTAGAGCAGGTGGTGTAAGTGTGCTCCACTTTACAGATGAGGAAACAGTAACTGAGAAGGTGAAGTGACTTGAACCAAGTCAGTACAGGTGGTAAGTAACTGGGAGAGAGAGACAGAGTTGGATCTGCTGCAGATTCTTACCAGTCAAGTGCTCTTTCCACTTCATAACCTTCTTAGAGCAGCCATTTCATATAGTTATGAGAATGAGTGCAGTTTCCCCAGAAGAGAAGATATCTCAAAAAATTGAATTCGGAAGGATGTATAGCCTGGAGAAGACTCAAGGGAAGAACATGATCACCAAGAACAGACTTACTCTTGTAATAGACGTATTACAGCAGAGGGTAAGATGATGAGCAATAGATGGGAGATACAGGGAACAGATGTACGGGAACTTCCTAAGCAGAGATACACAGAAAAGGAATGGGTTGCCTGAAGAAGCAATAATTTCCCTGTCATCGGAGGTGTTCAAACAGAGATTGAGGGACCACTTGTTTAAGGTATTGTAGTGGATAACCATGTTCCATGTGGGGGATGGTGTGGACTACAATCTAGTCTTAAGTTTTACAGAACAAATACTTTTATTAAGGGGATTTGTTCTGTGAAGTTTGGATTCAGTCAAAGGGCTGCAGTTGAGGACCTAGAGGGCCAGGTTCCCCACCCTTGGACTAGATTATCCATAAAATTCCTTCCGACTCTGAGTCTTTAATTATTTTTCCTCTCTCTGGCCTTTACTTCTACTTGTCTTTATCAAATACCCCTTCCCATATCATAGCTCTCTCTTTCTGCATAGAACACTGAGTGCTAGGGTAGTAATAGTGAAGATGTAAAAAACTTGGCTCTGAGATATTAGTCCTGGATTAAAACCAAATACAGTGTGTTAAAATAACACATGGTGAAAGCATGGACCATGTTACTGTGATGCCAGACAGAGCTGAATTAAAACCTTGGGAGGGGGTGTGGATACACATGTACGATGATGCTTTTAACACAACTGTGAAGCAAAATATTTTGTCACACTCCTCTGTGTTGACAGATTTGGGTCTGCCATCTGCTCTTATACCACATTGTCTGGCTCAGAGCAGCCGTGACAGTCACCCTAGAGTAACAGGGACTTGTAAGAACTCAGCAGTCTCTCATTGAGTGGCACGGTAGATTCCTGTCTTTCTGAGCAGTCATTTGTTGGATTGTTTCTTTGATGAGTAAGGACAATAACAAAGGTATTTTTCATTTGCCTGTGGATGCTGTGTATCTGTAGTAATGATGGAAGTAACAGCTTACATTTACATAATACTTTGCAGCTATTGAGACCTGTGTATCCATTATTTCATCTGACCCTCCCAACAACCCTCCTCTGACTTTCATGGGTGAGGAAGCTGAGCCTTAGAGAGGTTAAGTAGCTTGCCAGTGGTCAGGCAGTTAGTAAGTAGTAGAGGGAACTCAAACTTCAGGGCCTCTCACTCAGTGTTTCGCTATTTCTGTTATACCAGTGAGTATTTTTATAAAATTCTTCTTTTTATCTCTTTGAATTAATGATAGCTGACATTTAGGGAGTGCTTTAAGGTTTATAATGTTCATTACATACATTATCTCATTTGTTCTTCACAATCCAGTGAAGTAGGTAGGTGCTTCAGGTATTATCCCCATTTTCCAGATGAAGAAACTGAGGTTTGGAGAGTTTAAATAATTTGCCTAAGGACACCAAATAGTAAAAGACAGGGCTCATGTGCAGGCCTTCTCACTCTCAATCCATTGCTTTTTCCACTATATCACTGAGGAACTTTATTAATTTCTCTTCTTTGTCTATTTTAACTTATCAAATTAGCATTGGAAGGTACCTTAGAAGTTATCTAGTTTAGCTATTAATTAAAGCATGAATACTCTCTGAGATTCTGTGATTCTTCGACTGGACCTCATCATTCCACTTAATCTGCTCTCTTCAAAGTTACCAGTGTTCTTTTAATTGCCAGATCTAATGGTGTTTTCTTAATCCTCATCCTTCTCGAACCCTCTACATCCTTGTACACTATTGTTCACTGTCTTCTTCTTGAGACTCTCTTTTCTTTAGGTTTTTGTGACATTGTTTTGTCCTGGTTCTCCTCTTACCTCTCCAACCTCCTCATTCTCCTTTTCTTTATCTTCATCTAGATCACACCTGTTAACCCTGGGTGTTCCCCCAAAACTCTGTACTGGCCCTTCCTTCTTCTCTTTTCCATGTATGCTGTTTACTTGATGGTCACATCAGCTCCCACTGATTTAATTAAAATCTCCATGATGATAATTGTCAGATCTGTTTATCCAGCTCTGACCTCGTTCCTGACCTTCCATTTCCTATCTCCAAGTGCCTATTGGACGTGTTGAACTGGATGTACCATAGACATCTTATACTACACACACACATACATACACACACACACACACACACACACACACACACACACACACACACACACAAACACATACCTTATTTATCTTCAGTGTAAGAAAATTAAGCACTATATTCCATATAAGTGAACCTTCTAAGAAAATGAAACAAACCTTAAAAACGGCAAGATTTATTTTACTTTATTTGAAAGCATCATAGATTCATAGAAAATCTCAGTCTAAAACTGAACTCTCATTGTCTTTCCTCCCAATCCCTCTTCTCTTCCAAACTTCCCTATTACTGTCAAGGACACCACAATTTTCCTGTTGACCCATACTCACAACCTAACTTTCATCCTTGACTTCTCACCCTCAACTATCCCCCATATTTAATCAGTTGTCAAATCTTTTGATTCTGCCTTTATAATATCTTTCCTTTATGCTTCTTCCTCTCCTCTGACATTGCCATCACCCTAGTGAAGGCCTTCTTCACCTATGCCTGGACAATTGCAATACCTTCTGCTTAGTCTCCCAACCCCAAATCTCTTCCTCCTCCAGTCCTTCCTCCATTCAGCTGCCAAAATGATCTTCCGTAAGCACAGGTCTGACTTTGTCACCCTTCTTCTCAATAAAATCCAGTGGCTTTCTGTCTCCTCCAAGATAAAATTAAAGTCCTTTTAGGCTTTTAAAGTTCTTCAGAATCTGACCTCTTCTTCCCTTTGCTGTCTTCTTACACCTTACTCCTCTCCACATACTCTGCAATTCAGGGACCATGGCTTCCTTGTTGTTCCTCTAACAAGACACTCCATTTCCTAACTGTGAGCATTTCCTCTGGCTGTCCCCCGTTCCTGGAATGCTCTTCCTTCTCATCTTCGTCTCCTCACTTCTTTTAAATATCAACAAAAATCTCGCCTTCTGCAAGAAATCTTTTCCAGTTCCCCTTAATGCTAGTGCCTTCCCTCTGGGATTATCTTTAATTTATCCATCTTATCTGTACCTAGTTGTTTATGTGTTGTCTCTCCCATTTGACTGGGAGCTCCTTTATGGTAAGGATTGTTTTTTGCTTTTTTTCTGTATCCTCAGTGCTTTGCACACAGTGATTGGCTCTTAATTAATACTTATTGTCTTGATGGACTTGGCATCCTTTGTAAAGTATTATTTTGAATTTCTTAAGGATAAACAATTTCATTTGTCCTGTTTTTAAGGAATAACACAATTATGTAATGTTTTAGACAGATTTCCTCTGAACCTGTGATGCTTCCTAATAAAGTAAAGTAAATCTTGCAGCTTTTAAGGATTGTTTCCTTTATTTGGAAAGTTCACTTATGTGGATTGCAGTGCTTAATTTTCTTAAACTCGAGATAAATAAGACACAATCATAAGCATATATATACATACGTGTCCATATATATGTAAATACATATGTATATGAAAATTGTTTATTTTAACTAATTATGTCCTTGAAACTGGAAATTAAATCAAAAGAGGAGGAGAGATTGTGATAGGTAAACACCTAGGATCCAAATTTTAAAAGGGGGCTTTCTAAATGTGTATTGGAATTCCTTGAAGATTATGAGTTCCTCATCATTGTGAATCTTCAGGCAAAGGTTAGAGAATTGTCAGGGAGGCTGTCGAGAGGATTCCTGGTGAAGCAGAGGTGGTCCCTTTCCACTCTGTGCTACTGTGTGTTACCATTGCTGGGCTATTGATCTTGCTATCCTCAGCCTGTACTTTTTTTTTTTTTTTCATCTTCTTTAAACCATGCCACACAGCTTCTCCCTTATGTATAATTGAGAATGGATTGGTTTGATGGTCCAGGGTACAAAAGATAGGGTTCTTGGAGATGATAAAAGAGACTAGAAAAGTTTCATCCTGTTTTGACCTTGTCCCTTTGGAGGAGTGATGGCTAGAAGTTTTGAAATTCATGCTATTTTAAAAACAAAGTAAGACCATATGTTGCATTTTAAGGAGTTTTGAGTCTGGTTCATGTATCTGTATTTATAGGCCCTGGAAAGCAATAGGGATTTAGAAAACATATCTGAAATCTCATTCACTTTGACAAACTCTAGAGACAGAGATGAATCAGACACGATCCCTACCTTCATAAGGATTATAATCTAGCAAGAGGGAATAGGATACACACACACACACACACACACACACACACACACACAGAAAGAGAGACAGAGAAATGTATGTGTATCTATCTAGATATACTAGCTATATACTAACCATAGTGCATAGTAGAATATAAAAGCCAAAGCCAAGTGCTAAATGCTGTAAATGGGTAGAGAAGTTCTTTCTGGAGGGACCTAAATCTATAAAGACTATTAAGATATTCCCTAATCAGGGTGCGGAGCCAAGATGGCAGAGTAAAAGCAGTGATTTGCTTGAGCTCTCCCCCAAACCCCTCCAAATATCTATAAAAATTGGCTCTAAATAAATTCCAAAGCAACAGAACCCACAAAAAGACAGAGTGAAACAAATTTCCAGCCCAAGACAATCTGGATGGTTGATCGGAAAGGTATATCGCACTGGGCTGGGAGAGGAACGAAGTTTGGTGTAGGCGTGCAGGCAAGGCAGGCCTCAGCAAACCTGGAACAGGCCTCAGAGGACTGAATCCCATGCAGCTGTGGCGGTTTGCAGACTTCTCAACTCACGAATGCCAAAGACAACTTAGAAGGTCAGTGAGAAAATTCTGTGTCTGCAGTGAGAGAGAGAGAGAAGCACAGTGGTCTCAGCTCCAGTCCCCCAGCCTGGCCCTGGGACAGTGGCTGCTTCCAGAGCTTCCGGCCCACAGACTGAGGGGGAATTGAGTGGCTGATCAGAGGGGGATTGCAGGGATCTCTTTGCTGGTGCAAGATTCTCTTGCTTTGCCCGTGCTTGGATTGGAGTTCTAGGTGGTGGTCCTGGGGCGAGGAGGAGTGCTGGCGTTGTGGAGCTCCTAGTGGTGGTGGAGAGGAAATCCTCCTCACAGTTCCAGGACAGAAAAGAGTGCTTGAGGTCACTCATAGACCAGAGCACAGGCCAGGAGAGGAGTAAACACCTCGCCCTTGATCATAGCACCTTGGAAGAACTGAAAATTTACAGGTCCCTAGAAGTATCTCTGAAAATAGCTGCACAAAACCCCCGAAACTTGGGACAGTACATTCTCCACACTGGACACAGACCCCTACCTTAACAAAGAGTTTATAACTCAAGTTGGGATCATGAGCAAGAAGTGCAAAAAGAGTCAGACCATAGAATCTTACTTTGGTGACGAAGAAGATCAAAACATACAACCAGAAGAAGACAACAAAATCAAAGCTCCTACATCCAAAGCTTCCAAGAAAAATATGAATTGGTCCCAGGCCTTGGAAGAACTCAAAAAGGAGTTTGAGAAGCAAGTAAAAGAAGTAGAGGAAAAACTGAGAGTCATGCAAGAAAATCATGAAAAACAAGTTAACGGCTTGCTAAAGGAGACCTAAAAAAAATACTGAAAAAATTAACACCTTAAAAATAGCCTAACCCAAATGGCAAAAGAGGTCCAAAAAGCCAATGAGGAGAAGAATGCCCTAAAAAACAAAATTGGCCAAATGGAAAAGGAAGTCCACCACCGCTTCCTTAAAAATTAGAATGGAGCAATTGGCAGCTAGTGACTTTATGAGAAATCAAGACATTGTAAAACAAATCCAAAAGAATGAAAAAATATAAGAGAATGTGAAATATCTCATTGGAAAAACAACGAACCTGGAAAATAGATCCAGGAGAGAGAATTTAAAAATTAATGGACTCTCTGAAAGCCATGATCAAAAAAAGAGCCTAGACATCATCCTTCAAGAAATTATCAAGGGGGCAGCTAGGTGGCGCAGTGGATAGAGCACCCGCCCTGAAGTCAGGAGGACCTCAGTTCAAATCCGGCCTCAGACCAAACACTTGACTCTTACTAGCTGTGTGACCCTGGGCAAGTCGCTTAATCCCAATTGCCTTAAAAAAAAAAAAAAGATAAGAAATTATCAAGGAAAACTGCGCTGATACTTTAGAACCAGAGGGCAAAATAGAAATTGAAAGAATCTACCAATCACCTCCTGAAAGTGATCCCCAAAGGACAGCTTCTAGGAGTATTGTAGCCAAATTCCAGAGTTCCCAGGTCAAGGAGAAAATATTGCAAGCAGCCAGAAAGAAACAGTTCAAGTATGTGGAAACACAATCAGGATAACACAAGATTTAGCAGCTTCTACATTAAGGGACTGGAGGGCATGGAATATAATATTCTGGAGGGCAAAGGAAATAGGATTACAACCAAGAATCACCTACCCAGCAAAACTGAGTATAATCCTTCAGGGTAAAAAATGGTCATTCAGTGAAATAGGGGACTTTCAAGCATTCTTGATGAAAAGACCAGAGCTGAATAGAAAATTTGACTTTCAAGTATAAGATTCAAGTGAAACATGGAAGAAGTAAACAGGAAAGAGAAATCATAAGAGACTTACTAAGGTTGAACTGTTTACATTCCTTCATGGAAAGATGATATTTGTAACTCATGACTCGTTTGTCGGTATTAGGGTAGTGGGAGGGAAAAAATTATATGTATGTATAGATAGATAGATAGATAGACGGCACAGGGTGAGTTGAAGATGAAGGGGTAATGTCTGGAAAATAAAATTAAGGGGTGAGAGAAGATTATACTGGGAGAAGGAGAAAGGGAGAGGTAGAATGGGGTAAATTATCTCACATGAAACAGACAAGAAAAGGCAGTGGAAGGGAAATGGAAGGTGAGAGGGAATGTTTGAACCTTATTCTCATAGGATTTGGCTTAAGGAGGGAATAACATACACACTCAATTGGGTATGGGAATCTATCTTATCCTATAGGAAAATAAGGGGGGAAGGGGGCAGGGGGATGATGGGGGGGGCAGATTGGACGAGGGGATAATCTGAAGCAAACACTTCTGAGGAGGGACAGGGTCAAAAGAGAGAACAGAATAAATGGAGTGCATTCCAGGAAATTCTACATGAATGTGTGGAGGTGGAAGAGAGAAGGGCAGAGCCACAGTTAGCGGTTCCTTTTAGCGGGAGCACAGAGCATGTGAATGGGAGGAATAGTGTGAAATGATGGTGGAGGAGAGCTCGATCACCGCGGGCCTTATTGGCCAACCAACAAAGTTCGTCTTTCCCCCCCTTTAGGCAATAGGGAGTCCCTCAGGGTTTCTGGGAAGGGAAAGAATGTGGCTAGATTTTGGCAGCTCAGTGAAAGGTTTGGAGAGGGGGAAAACTGAAGACAGGAAGATAATCTTTTAGAATGTTTCTGGTGAGGCTGTTACAATAGTTGAGGTGAGAAGTAATAACGACCCGAATTAGTGGTGGCAATGTGAATGTTACACGTGAGAGAGATGGGGGAGGGGGAGTTTGAATCACTAGTTGGTCATCTAGTAGTTATTAAGCTCCTACTATTTGCCAGACAGCAGGACTTGATGACTGATTAGATGTGGGGGTAAGGGAGAAAGAAGAATCAATGATGAACAGGTTTTTAGGCCTGATTGACTAGGTAACACGCTAGTGACACAGAGATAGGGTAAGAAGGAAAGACCCATTTCAGGTAGGGAGATGAGTTCAGTTTTGGACATACATACATAGCATGAGTATGGCTACAAAGATCATGACTCCTTTGTCCAGCAGTTTTTGAAATGGGGCATTGTGAACCTTGCCCCCTTTTTACCTTTCTTCTTCTCTCTGTCCAGCTGGAGCAGTAGAGACACCAGACCGAAGCCCTCGGCCTACCTCAGCACCAGCCATTGCTCAGAGCCACGGTCCAGAAGGCAGCTTGCCTGGTACCTTGAATGGCAAGAAACCCACAGTCTCTCAAGTGCAGAAGGAGGCTGTGAAGGGAGAGACGAAGAAGGAAGAAGTGGCACCAGAAGAGGTGGAAGCAGAGCCTGCTGAAGTGTGGAAGGTATGCTTGTCACGCTGGCTCGCACTTCCCTGGAGGGCCTGGTTAACCGAGGAGGTTTCTGTGATGAGGCTGGGGTTACCGGGCTTGGAGGCAGCCAGCGGAATGAGGAGACATCTGGCTCAAAATTTAGAACTGAAAGCAGTGTTAGAGGATGTCTGGTGCAGGCCTGCTTCAGGTTTTTGTGTCCTGGATCCCTTTGGCAGTCTGAAGTTTGTAAACCCGTTTGCAGAATTGCATTTTACATAGATGAAATAAAATACCTGTTTATAATATGAGTATCCAAATAGAAAAAAAAAGACCAATTCTCAGATTAAGCGCCCTGATTTAGTCCAGCTTCTTCATTATACTTAGAATTCCATCATTTTACAAAGCTATCATCTAATAGTTTTACTGCATTAAAACTGAGGCCAAAGGAGATGAAGTGACTTGTCCATTGTCACATGGCATGTAAATGGCAGGGCAGAGACTGGAACCCAGGTCTCCTGACTCCCAGACTGGTGTTCCCTCGACTTGTACCTCCATGTGTCATCAGACTCTTCTCACTTTTTTTGTTCTTTTCTTTTGACATAATTGTGTCTTCAAGGAAGAGAGCTCCTTAACATTTTTATTGCTATCTTTTGTTTTTATGTATCTTAAATTTTCTCCCTTTAACCCTCCTAGAGAGACATTCCTTATAACAGAGAATATTTTAAAAAGAGAAAGAAAAATAGGAAGAAAAAAAAATCCGGCAAAACCAATCAGTACATCAAAAAGCTTACATTATATGTAGTGTTCCATATCTGTGGACCACCCCATCATCACCACCGAGTTAACAGGAAAGGGGGGATGTCAAAAGGCTTCCTTTTTAATTCTAGAAAACACCTATACAGTTGAAGTCTGCACAGCTGTTCCTGAATAAGTTGTATGTATCCACTTGATGCAAAGAACCAGTATGTAAAAGACCAAATTTACAAAATTAAATGATTATTTTCCCAGTGGAAGTTCTTTAAGTAATAAAGCATAAATGTTTTAAAAATAATCTGATATACATACAGCACTTCCAGAGCATGTTTATTTCATAAAAACTAGGTCCATTTATATGTTGAATTTTTAGGCTTTGCCTCACCAATGAAGAGAAGCCATTCTCTTGAGTTTGTTATGGCTCTGAGTTGATTCTGCACAGAATCACTGAGCCCCTTTGTAAATGCATCGAGTTTATCAGCTGATTTCCCAGAGGAGCAGGAAGGAGTTGGGGCAACCTTGTATATGTTGACAGAACTATTTAAGCATGTGTAAGCAATGCTAGTCCTGAGGTGTTCGTTTCACTTTATTAGAGAAGGTACAAATCCCACTATTGATATCGTGAATTGTGAGAGAGGAATGTGTCAATCTTTTTAAGAAAAGATTTTAAATTTTGTCAAGCAGTTAAGAAATCTAATATCCATTAGACCCTCAGGAATTGCTACTACATTGGCAATTTGATTAATTGTGACCTTTTTGTGCTAATGCTTCACTTAGACTACAGATTAGACTGGCTTACTTTAGACTCACAGTATCACAGAATTTTAGACCTGGAAAGTGACCTTGGAGGTCATATAGTCCAACCCCTTCATTTTAGAAGTCAGCAAGGTGAGGCCCAAAGAAGGGAAATAACTTGGCCAGGTCATGTGGCTAACATTTTGCATGTGTGGAATTCAAACCCTGGTGTCTTCACTCTAAATCCAGTGTTCTTTATACTGTGTCACATGATCTCACAAGATAGAGCTGCATGCAGAGATTTTTTTTTTTGCCTATTTTTTGTGCTTTGGGTCTAACTTGGGTCCAAAGAGAGAGAGTGTGCATATGTATGTATGTATTGGCCATTGTTGTGGCCATCTGTGTTGGGGTAGCTAGGTGGGCACAGTGGATAGATTGCTGGGCTTGGAGTCGGGAAGACTCATCTTCCTGGGTTCCAATCTGGCCTCATTTACTAGCTTTTTGACCCTGGGCAAGTCACTTAGCCCTGTTTGCCTCAGTTTCCTCATCTGTAAAATGAACTGGAAAAGGAAACGGCAAACCACTCCAGTATCTCTGCCAAAAAAATCTGACATGGAGTCACAAAGATTCAGACATGAGTGAAAAACAGCTGAACTTTAGGTTCAATGTCAGTAGTGCCTTTATAACAGAGTATCAGGGCTCACTATTTTTTCTTGCTCATTGTACAGCTTGGCATTTCTGATGACATTGCCTCTGCCCCTCCATCCTTTACACTGACTGTCTGGAAAGTGTTATGTTATAACAGTTGGCAGGGAGCTGTGTTGGCAATGGCCGAAACTCCTCTGGCCTTCTGCTAATTTACTTATTCTCTGCCTGCCTGTAGGACAGACATAATTATGTCTAAGAATAGCATCCCTTTGCAGTTGTGACTGTAGCAGAGGGGGAAGAATTCTCCCTTGGTATGTGCCCCCATTTGAGTGATAGGACTGAGTCTTTTTGCCAATTAATTGTTATGTAAATGTACTTCAGGTAATCTCACTGTAATCGGTTGAAAGCCATCTCTGGTAATACTCAATTATCTTAATTGTTCCCCATATTAACAATAACAATAAACTCTGTTCTGATTTTGTTTGTAGCAAGTTGGAATTATAGTGCTGAGAAATCTGACTTTGACCTAAAACCACATTTATCATGTAATCCGAGTAACAAAATAGCTTTGTTGCATGAAAGGAAATCATATCTATAGGATTTGGACAATATCCTTGATAACAGAATGATAGATGGAAGTAGTCTGTCACTGTGCATTCCTGGTTTGCAGATATTGAGGTCTCATAGCATTGGGTGTATTCTATGTTCATCACATTTAATGATAGTGTCCATTTTAGGTCAGTGGATTTTATGATTTAATATATGATTAGCTGAGGTATGGGGGGATGGATGGTTTTTTAAAAAAATTTGGTGAGCTAGCAAAAATTTTGTACTTACCTTTTTGGTTTTAAATCATATTGTATGCTGTGTGTGTGTTAAATGCAAATGTGAATTATTTGTCTCTCTGAAATATATACCATGCCTCAATTTTTTTTTTACCTATGAAATGGTTTTTAAAAATATTTTCTGAAGTGCTTTCAGATCACCAAAAGAAACATAAAGTCAACTATACAGACACAAATGGCAATTTGATTAAGGCCTTGATTTTTGGTGATGACTATGGGTCAACTTTTCCTTTAAAGAAGCATATTCACTTAAATAACCTTAAGCTAAATGGAATAATTACCTGGAATCCTCTTTTCTAAATCTATTTTCCAAATGACCATTTTGACTTCAAAGATGGAAAAGTGAACTAATAGACTGCTACTGGAAGTGAGTGAGCCACTTTCCTATAACACCTTCCTCAAGACTGCATGGTGATGATTATGTATTAGATTGTGTTTTACAACCAACTAAAATGTACAGCTTATGTGTTGGAGCAAAGCTATTCCTGAAAAACCCACTAACCTGAAATGTTTTTGCCACTTTATTTCTTAAACGTAGGTGGAAAAAACCCACATCGAGGTCACACCACCCACCATAAATGGTGACCAAATCCAGGTTTGTGCCGACAGTTGCTCATGCTCCTTTTAATTTTTTTTCTGCCCCCATTTTTTTCTTCCATCTTTTTTTTTTTCCCCAAGGTTGTAAAATGAAGGTCCAAGCAAATTTCAATGAGCCAACTTTTTATCATTTTTTTCTTTTTTTTTTTTTTAATTACTGCAAAACAGCAACCTGCAGAAAAAACAGAAGATCTGATAAGAATGAGGAAGGTTAGACACTTTTCAATTTCACAGAGCAACGTTGCCACTTTGCCCATGCTCACTTTAAGCACGTTAAAGAGACAGTGACCCATTCTTTTCATTGGCTTCTTATTGGTTTCTTGAGGGCTGTCCTTATCTCACTTTTGGTATGAGTCATGCTCTCACTTGGAGAGCAGTGATCAGCAAAGGAGACCAAAGGAAAAACGGTCCTTCATTCACCTTTTCATGAAATGTGTCAGCTAGAAGTATGGCTTGTTGGTAAAATGATGCAAATGCCTTTTTGTTATTAAAGCATTTTATTCAAATTTGTCAAAATCGCCATCAAGGTAGTAGTTTTGTTGCATTGTCAGAAACTGACTTTGTTTGCCTGTCTCTCCTTTGCTTTATTTCCCCCATCTTATATAAGTGAGGTAAATAATATTTTTACTCCAGAGAGCTATTATCTGACATAGGTAATCTTACATACCTGCCTCATACAAAGCGTTAGAGGTGTTTGTCATGTAGTTTGGCACCAAACTTGCAACCTGATGCTGAAAAATAAATGATTATCTTTCTAAGTAAATATCCACAAGCTTCAAAGCTTTTTAAATGACTTGCATTTTCTCTTTATTTGAAAGATCTTTGTGGCTTCAGGTATGAGTAGGAAGCATGAATTTGATGTCAAGGAAGCCAATAAAACAAGGAGCACTGTCTGTTTAAATGAAATCACCACATTCTTCCATCACTCACAAATTCATCCTTTTTTTTTTTTGATGGTAATTGTTTTTCCATTTGTCGTTGTGGTTCCATGACCATTCCATGTTGTGTCATATGCTGTGTCCCAGACATTTGGTTTTAAACATTTTTTGATTTGCCAATTTGCAATTTTTCCCGCAAGAACAACATTTTAATTTTTTGTGCTTTTCTGTTTTTTCCCCCCTTTCATTTTCACAGAAAAAAACAAAGACACTAGATGGTGAAAACATTTATATCAGACATAGCAATTTAATGTTGGAGGTTTGTATGAACTTGAAGCTAATTTCAGTTGGTTGCCTGGAACCTTCTGCATTCTTTACTGGCCTCTTTTTCTTCCTCCTATGCTGCATTTGGTTTTGCATGCTCTTGCATGAGAAAATTTTAGATTTAAAAAATGCTTTTGCATGTTGATAAAACATGAATATTTGCAACCATCTCTCCTGCCTTTTTAGTTTTCATCTGTCATACTTATCTGAAAAATATATGATTGGGACTACCTCTGTTTCAAATGGGGGACTGGTTATCCATTTACTTATTCTCAGTAAGTTCATATTCATGCTCAGAGTCTCCTGAATTTTCCCAAAGATGAGCCCAGGTCCCAAATAAAAGTTACATTATTTTCATCTGCTGGCCTGAAACAATGTGAAAGTTCAGATAGGGGAATGGTAATATGGGCAAATTGGAAATATATTAAGTACATTTAAATATAGGAGCAGAGTTCAGATGAGCTTACTAAATTCATAGTGTCAGAAACCAAAAGAAGCCACAAAACAAAGAAGACTAAGAACCCGTATTTATTTAATACTTGACCCCATTTGTTCCTTATCACAGCTCTGTAAGGCAGACTGGGCAAATATCCTTACCCCCATTTGCCCATGAGGAAACTGAGGTAGAGGGGTTGCATGACTTGCCTAGGTTTCCATAGCTTATTTGAACCCAAATTTTCTGACTGCCAAGACCAGAGTTCTTTCCATTATACTTAACTTACTGCCATCTTAAAAAAAAAAAAAAAAAAGGCAGTAAGGAAAGCAAATCAGGGTACAGTGTAGAGAGTAATATAGGAATGATGAAGTAACTCTCTTGTTATCCCCCAGCATTGGTCAGACCCCCTCCTAACCTACTATATCCTATTCTAGATTCTGTAACTAGGCTTAAATTTGGGGAAAAGAACTATATAAAACTCACAAAAAGGGTCAGCTATTAAGACCCCTGAACAAGACTTTAAAAGAGCTTCTATTATTCAGTCTCTAGAAGGGCACTTTAATTAATTATTCTCCAGCTTTTGAAGGACTCTTAAATAGAGCCTAATGACCAGCTGATCCCCTGAACACAGAGCAAAAGAAGTAGGTTTAATTCTAGTATTAAAGGTTTAGCCTAAATGTTAAGAATTTCCCCACTAAAGGTTCCTTAAATGTTAGGATGTATCACTGCATCAGTTTCTTCATTCTCCTTCTCTGTAGGAAGTTTTTAATTGACTCAATTATAATTTGCGATGATTTTTTAATGTTTTTCATAAAGCCAAGTAGGAATAGCCCTCGACCTCTACCTGAAACATGAATCCTCTCTGTGACATGCCTGGCATGTGATCATTGAGCTTTTAGATCATTAAGGTCTCCAGTGATAGAGAATTTTCATTACCTGCTGAGGCAGCCCATTCCATTGTTGGATATCCTTAATTGTTAGGAGGTTTTTCCTTATATGGATTCATAATCTGCTTCCTGTAATGTCGTATTTCTGACTGAAGGAAGAAATTAGATAATCTGTCATGTTCTCTTCCTAACCCATCATGATCCTATAATTAAAGAAACAGAGAAATTGTTGCCAACATGACATTGTGTTGTATGGAACAAGTTAGACACAATTTTTGCATCTTGGGAACCTATGATCTAAGACAGTGTTGATCAGAATATTAAACACTTGTAGACAAGTGAATAAAACGTTTATCTAAATCATAATTATTTATATCAGGCATGCAAAGGGATAAGTGCATTTAGCAGGGTGCTGGAAAAGGGAGGAATAGTATGTCTGGTCAAGTGAAATTACCATCTTTCTTCCATTTTGGGAAAGTGTAGGTTGATGAATCAGTCATTCCAAAAGCATATATTAAATACTAGGCTTTATATAGCACTATTCTGTGATCAAGTTAAATTGTAAGCTGTTGGAACTTAAATCTGCCACTGGCTTAATATATGGCCTCTGTCAATTCACTTAGTCTTGACTGGTTGTTTCTTCATCCGAAATGTGAGAAAGCCAGTTGCATCCAGATAGCAACCATAAGTCTCAGATTGTTGAATTACTCTCTTCCCTTTTGCCAGCTCTGTGTGTATTTTTAATATCCAGCAGAATAGGCTTCATGCCTGAGATCCTACTCCATTTAATTCTCAGAAACCAAGCGTTAAGAATTTTATTCTACAATTCTTTATTTTCTCCTTTATTGATAGTACCCTCCAAAGTGTAATCTAACAGCCAGGTTTAGAGAGGTACCCAGACAAGCAGTCCCTTGCTCCTTCAGTTCTTTCAGATAAAATGGAATGAGAGTCCTGTGAGCCAGGGATGACTCAAAATTTCCTGTGGATTATTTCAGACTTTAGCAGATTCACTGGGTTCTACCCAGCCTATAGCTACATACCTAGGAGTAGGCTAGAATTGGCTCAGGCTCGTGAGCTTGATGATAACAAAATTGCATTTGCCCCTTAGAGTATCATCTGGTAATTTCAAATAAAAATGTATTTCTTAACTAGGCCACCCTTGAGAAGAAGCCCTCTCCCCAGATTGTTTTCTTCCATCCCTCCCCCAACAGGAACCTACAGTACCAATCATATATTTGCCCTTTGTTCCATAGAGTGTGTTGTGACTTCCAAGATTGATAGTGTTCCTGTGTGTGATGTGCTTTTTTTTTTCTCCTAGCATTTCATTGATAGCCATGAGAGGGGACTCCTAAACAAGTGTGTGTGTGTTTTAAAATAGAAACTACTAACCAACTTTTGAAAACATTTCTATTTAATAAAGCTTTTTGGTTTTTTTGGTTTGATTACTGCTGAAATTATGAGATTGGGGATATCAGTAAAATTATCTAACCTTTAGGTCATTGGGGAAATTTAGCTGATTATACCTTCCTCTAGGGAGAAAGTTTTTCCTCTTCCAAAAGAATATCTTGCAAGTTATCTGTCATTGAGCAAGGTATTACCCCCATTTGCTACTTTTATTCTGGCATAAACAAGGTCAAGTTCACTATAAAATCCTTCTTTCTCTTCTACCCTCATCTTCCAAAGCAAGTGTGCACAGTAAATATCTTTGAAATGGTTGCCTTCATAGTTTCTTGATTGTTACCAAATCGCTACCATATTCCTTCTCCTTCCACCCCCAAGTTTCTCAGAGGGCTAGCTAACCTCACTAAGAATCCATTGACTTCACAGCATAGTTAGATTTGGAAGGAATTGAAGAGATCACTGAGTCTAACCCCCTCATTGTATAGGTGAGAAGACTGAGGACCAGGAAGGTTATATATTGTCCAGGATTATATATAGTGGTTAAATAGCCAGAATTCAAGCTCAAGTCCTCTGACTCCAAATCTAGTATCTTTCCATTTTGCTGTCATTGAAAGCCCTTATCATCTCAGGACCCAAACAGTGTTACATGCTTGGCAGGATGGACATAGCAATTACCATTCTCAATCATAAAAGGGCTTCTATGGACAACTCTGGTTTGATGGGTGTTGTTTTTTTTTTTCCTCTTACTGGATTTTGGGTCTTTTTCTGCTCGCCACTTAAATACTTCTGATTTTTAAAAAGTTGTTCTTCACCTTTATTCTTCACTTTCTCCATGCACTTAATTTCCAAGCAGGAATCAGGTCATAAAGTGCTAAATTCTTACTAGGCTCAAGCTTGTTCATGCATTTCCATAGCTAGTAAACATATCCCTTTTGCTCTTTGCTGAGACAAAAAATCCAGCAGTCACTTTTCAATGGTGAAGCCTGTATGCATGAAAAATACCCACATTTCATCCCAGCATGCAGGAAGTACTCTGAGGAACGAACCATAGGATCTCCTCTCCTGGGTCAGACTTTTCTTTGACTGATTGTAAAGCAGTAATTCATAGTTCAGTCTAATGTAAATAAATGGGCGAATAGATTAAATAGAAATTGAGCTTAGTAAGTAAACTATAGATCCAGAATGAAAATTAGGGTTCTTCTACTGATTCCCCTACCTGCATGCTAATTTCCCTTTAGTATTGCTTTTGAAAATGTGCATATATGTGTGCGTGTGTGTCTGTGTGTGTATATACACACACACACAGACACACACACATTAAATATAAGCCTTTTATTTTAAATAAACTCCATTTCTCTTGTAAAAAGGCTTTTATCTAGGGGGCCAAATGAAAGTCAGTTCTGAAACACATGCAGTAAACTAGGATGTGGACTTAATATCCACCTTCTCCTGAGTACACAGCTATGTTGATAAGAAATAAATTCCTGGGATTTTTAGCAGCTGTTAAACATCTAGGACCTCCCAAGTATTCTGAACCCAAGCATGGATCTTTTGGGTTCTTTTCAGAAAAAGGCAAGAAAGGGAGCAACGGAATTCTTGTTTTCAAAAAATGGATCTCAGGCATTTTGTGGTAAGGACCTCCTTTGGAGAACTGACTTTATTTTGAGGCCATTTTTCATGATTCTTCTCTGTTCCTGTACCTGAGTGAATCCCCGCCTCCCAGCCCGAATTGCTCAAGTCATGCAATTTTCTTATTTTCAGTTCAATTTAAGTATCTATTGTATGCAGAGCATTGTATTTTTTGCTTGGGATACAATGATAGAAATAACAAAATGAGCCTCAGTTGTCCCTATGAATAACGATTAGATCTTGTACATTTTTTCCTTGAGGATATCCCTTCTAGTTCCTGTTCCCTGCTTCTGGTTATGCAGAATTAATATCTAGGGTCAGTGAACTTTGTCCCCCTCATACCTAAATTGTTGAGAAGGCTCCTAAAGTCTTAGACTTTTAGTAACCACACTCTCATCCACAGAAAGTTATTAGATTAAGCTCATTCCCTTGAATTGTACCTGGGAGTGAAGAAAAAATTGGTAGAGAATTCCTCAGTACCATGTGAACAGTAACCCAAGTAGATGATGAGCTGTTATATCCACTATCATTTGTAGCTTCCGAGTCATTTTCAAGGGTTAGAAAGAGTCTGGAATGAAGGTCAGCATTGAGGATTACTATGGTGAACTTAATATCATATCAGAAAGAATGAGATTCCACTTGTTTGTAAACTAAAAATAATTTTTTAAAAAATAAATAGCCAAAGGCATACCTTGCATTACTTTAGCTGCTGTTGGGGACCTAGGGGGATAGCTCTAAATCCTGAGACAGCCCAAGGTTGCCAACCTTCCTGATAACCATGATTATCACTCTTAGTGGTGGGATCTTTTTTTTTTTTTTTGGTCATAGCAACCTGCAACAATCTCTTCTTTCGTTTTATTATTTCCATCCTGCCTGAGCTTAAACCAGTTCAGTGTCACCTAACCCAGAATGAGGGTGATTAAATTGAGAAACCATCCGCATTAATTGGATTAGGTGATAGAGAGCTGGGTGTATCTTCTCTCCAGTATCAGGACATCATAGGAGAAAGGAGAGATGTAAAATAGATAAAGGAAGGAACTCTTCATGGGTGTTTGACAAGTCACAGAATCTTAGCACTGGAGGGGACCTCAGAGGTAATTCTAGTCTAGTGCTGTCAGATTAATTAATCCTCTTGACAACATCTGTGATCAAATCGAATTGTTCAAAGATGCCCTCAGGTCATGATGCTTATCTGCTTCTGAGAAAAGTGCCTTGTTTTTAAAAAGAAAAGGAAAGAAAACAAGGCTGCATACCCCAGTGGTACATTTTCAGTTTTAGCGCAACTATGGATTTGGCAACCTATCTCCTGGATGTGGTGTGTTTTCTGCCAGGCCCACTGCCTCTAGTGGGCTGCTCTTGGTCTGGTTTTATTCTCAAGGGCTTATTGTTTTGCTCCTTTGTTCTCTCAACTGTAGGATTTAGACAAGACCCAGGAGGAGATCAGGAAGCACCATGCCAGCATTAGCGAGCTCAAGAAGAGCTTCATGGAGGCTGTCCCAGAGCCTCGGCCCAGCGAGTGGGACAAGCGCCTGTCGACCCACTCCCCCTTCCGGACGCTGAACCTCAATGGGCAGATTCCCTCAGGAGAAGGAGTGAGTACTGGGGATAAAGTGTCAGGATACGTGGAAAGATGAGACTTTTCCACATTCTCAACTGGAAAGAGAGTGTAGATAAAATATTCTTTGTGTCCCATGACATTGTTACAGCTTCAGGGTATTTCTGGTGAGCACTCTAAGTTTTATAGTTCACTCAGATGAACTCTAGGAAACCATGCCAGGCTCAGCAATTGACTGGACACTGAGAAATCTTTCTACTAGAAAACTCTTAGCTGGGACTTTCTTAGTGAGTGCAATTTGAGGCTGTAAAATGGTTAGATTTAAAACATCCTAGAGAAAAGGAAAGAAACTCACTAACAACAAACATTTAGTAAGTATGCTGATATTAACAGGTTCAGAATTGAAAATGAGTGGGGGAGGGGATATTTTTAGCCATGTTTTACACTTCTGAATAATCTGGTGACTTTGGGGACTAATGCTTACAATTTTGTTAATAAACTGAAGACTTATTCTTCAAAGATTGCTGAATACCAGATCCAAATTGTTGCATTTGATTTTTAGAAAATGCTGTCCACAATTTAGAATCTATCTGTGGAGAGGCATCTTAAATCTTTGTAGTTTGTGTAGTTTTTTGCCACAGTTGAAGGAGTTTAGGGAGATTCTGCAGGGACTGTCCTTAATTCCATTACGAATGCCATTGCCTAATTTAGAAGTCATACACCCAATTAAATAGCTCCATATGATGAGAATCTCTTGAAGGTTACCTTGAGCAATGAAAGTTACTGACCCCGAGACTCATTTAAAAATCTTTATTTTCTACAAATTCATCATTTATATGATAAATCATAATGATGCAAAGGAAAGATTGTAACTCAGCTCACCAAACATTTAACACAAAATCCTGTCTTTCTCCTCCCAAAAGATAGTAATAATCCTAATTAAGAGTGGTGATTTAGCTATTTAAAGACTAATTTTTAAAAATAATCAGAATATAGGCACAATGGTCTAGATGTAACAGTATCTAAAACTGAAAAGAAAAAAAGTTACAAGTCTAACATTCTGTATCTGTTTAACTATCTCCGCAGAGTAGGCTGAAAGGCCACTGCTGCCAGCCATGTTCTTCTCACCCACCCATTGCAACACCCCTCCCCCTTTTCTCCTAGGCATCCTTAGGCACATGCATCTCTCCCTCCCCTGCCCCCCTTCACCACCTCTGCTGGAAAGATGCCCAGCATTTCTATGGATTAGTCCAACCCTCGTTCAGGTTCATTACATCCACACAGAGCTTTGAGAAGCTAATGGACATGAAGGTTGTTGCCGTTACTCCCTGCCTAAACATTAGAAAGTACCTAGTTATCAGCCTTTCACCTCTGCTTCTCTCCTCCAAAAAAAACCTAGAACTTTATTTTCTGAGTGTTAAGTAAATGTGTGTCAGTCGCCATTTCCAGAAGTGTAACACATTTTAGTCCCCTCTGGAAACTGTCTCAGAGCTAGTTTGGGGAATTTTGGGGAGCATTAAGAAATGGGTTTTTTTTTAGCTAGATTGACAGACCCTTAGGAACCCTTGAGCGTTGGTTAGTTTATACACTGAAAGTGTGGGGTGAATAAACAAAGAATAGAGCAAAACCAGCACTAAGGGCAGGCAGCCCCCAAATCCCAGCAGGGAACTATTCTTCTTACTGTTACCTTTTTACAAGTGCGAGGAAATTCAGCTCTGCATGGCTGGTAAGGATGTGTTTTGCGGTGTATCAAGTCTTGTGTGTTACAGAGAAGGCTCAGAACCCCAATGAGGAGCATGACACTTGGAGGTTAGGGGATTGGAGTGGGAGTAGTGTTGTTTTCAAACTTTGTCCTGTGTGCACAGGTGTATTTAGTTTAAATCCCACAGCCTTTTCTACAGGAAATTATTTCCCATTCTGGCATTTGTTTCCTCCATTTCCTTTAACTCTTGGGATGATGGTTCCATTTTCTGAGGAATCTTCTTCCCCTCTTTCGGTGCATTGCAAGGCAACTGACTTTTCCATGCTTTGTGTATGCCCAGGTGAAGAAAGCCTCTGTCCTTCCTTCGGAGAGAAAGGTTGGTGGGCCTGAGGTAAAGCTGCTCTTAGAACTCATGCTGCTGAAGCAGGATTTGCTCTTGCCATGGCATTAAACAGAGAATCCCCTGCCCCAGACCACGCAGCAGCTGCTGAGTAATATTTTTCTTTGGGCTCCACCAGCACACTCCCATCCTCCAGCCTCCTGGCGTAACTCCTGACCACCTGCTCAAAGAGCAGCTTTGACAGCTTTTGGTTTGCTTACATCCGTGCATGGCTGGTTGGAAAGCTGCATGAGGATGTTACTGTGTATTTGGAGAGAAAAAACCCAATTTAATTGTTCCCTATTCTTTTTATGTTGTCTTTCTCTCCCTTTCGGTTTTCTTTTCTTTTAAAATTCACATTAATTTTGCATCCTTTCTTTCTTTTTCTCTTTTCTTCCCATTTTTGCTGATCAGTCCCCCAGCTACTTTCTCCCTGATACACATCACTTAGGGGTGTGCAAAGAACCCGTGTCAAACTTCCAAAGTGACCAGAGGAGGCTGGCTCAACTAAGAGAACTTAGGGCCAAATTTTTTCTCTCCTAGATAACACCTGGCTCACGCCCAGATGGCAGTGCACAGAGAGGGAAAAATGGAGTTCTCAGCTGCATAACCAGTTCCCATGAAACATCTTCACAATGTAGCACATAGCCCTTCACGTTGTTAGTGTTTGATTTATAAAGTCATGCCTCCAAAGACAGTTCCTCAAATGACAAAAGACATACATGAAAAGAGAAAAGTTAATGTCAAAGAGCTTCCAATCTGGAAAGTAGTTTTCACGTGTCTCTCTATGTGTCTGTGCTTGTGTGGTATGTGTGTGAGATTTGCAAAGGCCTGAGTGTTGTTTGTGTATTGTCCATAGTCAAATTTGGGGGCATGAAATAAAGTTTTGTATATATATTTTTTTTGTTTTGAAGAACCTTCAAAATTTATAAGATTAAGATGTTTGCTTCTTGGAGCAAAAGTAATTACTACAGTGAATGAAGTCACAGTTGTTTTAGGCTTGACCTATGCATTTTTGGGAAGATACCAAGATAACTTTTTCTATTCCGTTGTTTCTATTTATGATGCAAATAACATTCTGATGGTGAGAAAAATGCTTCATTGCTGGTTTTGCTTACTCTGTCTAAAGACGAATGAGCACTCCCCACGTAACAGAAATGACCCAAACTCTTGGGGGGATTTTCTGAAGAGGACTGCTCTGACACTCACACAGAGCACTCATGAATGATCCTTGAGCACTGCCCTCATGAGTGGTTTCATTAGGGTCAATTCCTGGATTGGCGGAGAGGTTCCAAAATGTCTACCTGAGTTAATACTTTGCACATCCCCAAGTACCATTTTTTGAGCATTTTCCATCTGTCATTGTGTTCATCTTTCTCTGTCTTTCTTGATCTTCTACCACGAAAGCAGACACAGGAACGTGCTCTGTTAGTACAGGATGAAGACAAAATAAAAAGGCAAAAGAGATCCACTGAGAGAGCCTTGCCCCAGCAAGAAAATGAAGAAGCTCTTCCCAAGGTTTCCATTCCAATCCCTGAGGAACACAAGTCCCTCAAAAAGTGCTACCTGTACTCTAGTACTTTTCCATCTCCTCGTATTCCTTTCATGATGTCTTTTCTCGTGGTTCTTGCATTAGCTGTTTGGTGGTTGGTCTTTCTGTGACCTGAAAATAGGGTGCTCACCCAAAACTTCAAGACCACAACCTTGAACTTTTGTCCTTGGCTTCTATCTACTGCATTTTCTCCTGTACGATGTTCTCCTTTCTCAGGGGCTCAGTCATAGGGGTTCTTGCCACTGTTGTTCTGTTTATAAAATGTGTTCCTCTTTGTACAGTACATGTCTTGGGGTACAAAGGAGTGGCAATGGATTGCCAGGCCAGCTTTTCTGCACTGATGTTAAACAAGCCTTTGCAATCCATAGACAAATCAGATTAAAAGCATATGGCAGGTCGGTTCTTTTTCCAAGAGCTCTAACTCTTAAGCCTGCATGTTTCTCCTGATTACTGCTGCTGTGTTGTCCTCCCTCTAAGATTGTACACAAAGCAAAGTAAGTACTCTATGGGATTCTCCCTTGTTCTTCAACAGTTATTCATGGGACATGAGCTCCGTGGTTTAAGAAAAAAAAAATCTGACTTTCTATTTATTCAGAAGCCTTAAGAATATACATAATGAACAATGAAGTCTGATCCATAACCACTCCTTTTCTGGGGGAAATCAAACAAACCAGTATACAAAGCCTCTTTGTAAAATACAAAAATAAAAAGGCTTTTGACATCTGTGGCCTTCTTTTGAATATTTCAGAGATGGTAAGGGACTGCTGCTGCCTAGTATACTGAAGAGAACTGAACTGTCTCTTAATAAACAAAGGGTTAATGGTTTAAAAAAAAAAAAGGAAGGAAAAAAAAACTGCCACTGCCCTTTAAACTCTAGCCAGGGCTATATTTTCCAGAGTCCTCTTCTATTCTCCATAAAATGGTATGGTACTGAAATTCACATTTACTGTGAGACCCTGCCCTAATTAAGTTCTGTTTACAAATGTTATTGAGGGTGTTTCACTTCTCTGAATGAATATATTGTTGAATTTCTCTTTATGACTTAAGAAATAATGATGTTACTAGAAGCAGTACTTATCCATGACAATAAGCTTAAAAGTCTATATTTATGGATTTAATTTTCTTGATGCATTTCAAATGTGTTCTTGAAAATTTGTGTTTAAATCCACAAAATGTTTTTAAATTGTGGTAATATGAGTGAAAGTATTATTGTGATGAGTTTTTGTCTTGTGCTTGCATGTTAATTTATGGGGCTTCTTTGAATGTAAATATGAGTGCAATCTATGTTCAGATCATAATTCTGGTGCTTCACCAGTTATTTTGACTTTAAAACTAACTCAACTTTGCATGCTGCTTGCTTTTGGGGGGCATCAAATGTAGCTACCTGGATGAATTGGCTAAAGT